TCATGGATCAGCAAACTGTGAAATGTTCATTTAAACAGCTTTTAGTCAACATGGCTGTAAAGGATAAGATAAGAAATTTAGTTTTACAACAGATTATTTAAGAACTCTTCTGAATAGTTATTGTTAAGGTTCTTTAATATGCATATTACATCCTTCCAAAACAACATTGAATGTATTGTCCTCAGTCAAACAGGATGCGACCATCTATCTAACTTTCTGTACAGCCACGGACAGACCTACATGTATCAGGGATTTTCCTAAGCATATGTTTTAAAAATACATTTTGATACAATATATTGTATTCAGTAAAAAGAACAGTATAATTTCTTTCATTTTGACGTCACATTGCTGTAATGTTATAAGAACAAATTATCAATCAGCAGAGACACGTTTTGCAATGTTCACTTTACATGTTCCCTTTACCAAATAGTAAATGATTTGTTATAATAATTTATTGTCAAAATTAGATTTTTTGAAGAATTTCTTTCCTCTTGTACATTTTTTTTCTGTAAAAATAAATTAAAAAAAAGATGTTTGGTTATTCTTAAAATTCATGATTACTTGTATTAAATAAAATTATATTTTATCTATTGCATAATGGATGTATTCTATGGCTTAGATTTGAACCATTTTTAATTTTCCATATGTAATTGTTTTGAATTTAGACAACAATTTACATGTACACTATCTCTGGTAACAATCTTTTTTTCAATGATATGTTTGTGTAGCATGATAGCAATCAGAGATGCATAGCGCATATAGGGATATCTTTAATATAAATTTTGTATTAAATGAATTCTATATTACACATGTTAAGTGCAATAACATATTACAGAGAACACTGTTTTGCAATAGTATATAACAGCATTTGCAAATTTTAGCTAATTGTTAATTTTTTATTTGCAAATCAGTATATGAGCCGCATCATATATATCGACCTTGTACGTGTATCAGAATTCGATTGATTTTGAAACATTTAAATACGAAATAAAAGATAAATTTTACGGACATTACATAGAGATTTTTTTAACTCGAAATAGGTTAACAGATGTATTCATAATTATTGCATAAGGTCAATTTCTATCAGACACAGCTCATGAAATAAAGAAAATTAGATAAAAAAATGGGTTTAGATATTGTTTACTTATATTAAGTATGTCTATTTTGTCATATTATAAATCAATCACAGATATTTGTGGTATGGGTGTAGACATCCCCTTTCATTTTTTCTCTAACAATTTTTTGTATATATACAAATTATTATCAGCATGTAAATAATATATACATGTACCTTCAAAGGCAGTTTCAAAAAACATTATTTGTTTTAGTAAGCTTGTTTGTTAAAATCAATTACAGCTTCTTGTCTTCTATTTTGTTTAGTGATAATACTGTTTGTTATTGCAGTTGTATCATATAATAAATTGTACCAGAGTATTGGGTATTTATTTTCCCTTTTTTACAAAATTGACTATTGATAAATTTGTGTGGTCTTGAATAGATATAAGAAGATGTGGTATGAGTGCCAATGAGACAACTCACCATCCAAGTCACAATTTGTAAAAGTAAACCATTATAGGTCAAAGTACGGCCTTCAACACGGAGCATTGGCTCACACCGAACAGCAAGCTATAAAGGGCTCCAAAATTTACTAGTCTAAAACAATTCAAACAGGAAAACCAACGGTCTAATCTATATAAAAAACGAGAAACACTTATGAGCCACATCAAAAAACGACAACCACTGAACAACAGGTTCCTAGATGTCTAATTATACACAGTTCCAAAGAAGGGGGTATACTGGTTTACTTTTGTCAGTGTTTTCAAATGTCTCATAATATTTTGGTTGCATTTTTGTTAGGAACTACAAATCAAGAGTTCCCTGAAATTTGGTATCAAGCTTCATGTGATCATTTTATACTTTACGATATAACAACGTGAATAACTTTTAATATCTTCCGTGTAATATAAGCCCATTGTATTAATAAGCAAGTGTGTTTTTATACTATATAAATACCAAAGTGATTTTAGTTATTTTCGTCCCGTGTAATACAAGCCCACCTTAAAAATCAAGCAATTGATGTGCTCCTTACCACAGGAGGAAGTTACAGAAACACCTAATTCAATATATATCATAAAATTGAGAATGGAAATGGGGAATGTGTCAGAGACAACAACCCAACCAGAGCATAAAGCAGCCCAAGGCCACCAATGGGTATTCAACACAGCAAGAAAATCCTGCACCCGGAAGCGGGCTTCAGCTGGCCCCTAATCAAAAATGTGTACTAGTTCAGTGAAAATGGACGTCACACTAAACTCCTAAACATATAAATGAACTAAAATTTAAAAAACATACAAGACTAACAAAGGCCAGAGGCTCCTGACTTGGGACAGGCGCAAAAATGTGACTGGGTTAAACATGTTTTGTGAGATCTCAATCCTCCCCCTATACCTCTAGCCAATGTAGAATAAACAAACACACAACAATACGCACAGTAAAACTCAGTTTAAAAGAAGTCCAAGTCTGATGTTAGAAAAGGTAACAGAAGAAACTAAGCAAAATGACAATGATTCATAAATTAACAAAGGACTACTAGCAGTAAGCAAACTACATTCAGCCACTACATTAAGATTTCTTACTTGAAGCAGGTACATTAACATATGGTATGGTTAAACTAGTTTTGTGTGTACTTAACCCTCTGATCTGATCTAGTTCAATGGAGGAACCTCAATTTTAATGAAGGCTGATATCCTAGGCAGTAAAGTCTCTTTAGATTTTATATCCTGATACAATGAAGTGTGTATCTCATCCTATAGACTGGACGTTAAGCAACCAACAATCAATCAATCAATCAATCATCCTATAGAAATAATTTCTAACTTCCATAAAGGTACATTCTATAGGGTAAGTCAGAATCCAGGCATATCAAAGTTTCCTTTGCCTACCTTTTGTGAACATGTCACTTCAGGTACTGTAAATTACACTATGTACAAGATTTTCCAGACATGTTGATGCTCAACATCCAGCTGTAAATACTACATGTATATTCAGGACAATAACATGATAATGTCATGGGTTCAATCCTGCATTTTACAAGATTGACTTGCTAACTTAGATTATTGTCTCACCTGCAACAAAAGTCGCAGAATACGAGACATAGGGATTACCATTCATTGGTGATTGTGTAAACTATTTGAATAAAGCTTTATATTTGAGAAGGTAGAAGACCTTTATGCTTCATACCTTGTATGCAGAACCTATGTTACGAAGTTTATGTCTGTCATATGTCCATTGCCCTCATTTTCATGGTTCAGTGACTGCTTGAAAAAATGTGATAGTTTTTTTGTCATGTGAAATGAGTAATAGGATAACTATATTTGGTATATGGCTTCCTTGCAAGGTCTACAAGTCTGTCAGACAGGGTTCACCTGACCTTGACCTCATTTTATGGATCAGTGATCAGAGTTAAGTGTACGTGGTCAAGTCTGAATCTCAGATACTATAAGAAATAGGTCAACTATATTTAGTGTATGGAATGATTGTAAGGTGCACATGTACAACTTTCAGGTTTTATCTGACCTTGACTTCATTTTCATGGTTCAGTGGACAAGGTTTAGTTTTTGTGGTTTTGTCTATTTCTCAGACACTATAAAGCAATAGGGTCTCTATATTTGGTGTATGGAATGATTGTAAGGTGTACATGTCCTACTGGCAGATTTTATCTGACCTTGACCTCATTTTCACATTTCATAAGTAAAATGTCAAAAGAAAAGTTTTGTGGTTTGGTCTATTTCTCAGATACTATAAGCAATAAGGCCACTATAATTTGAGTATGGAATGATTGTAAGGTGTACATACATGTATCTGTCTGGCAGGTTTCATATGGCCTTGTCTTAATTTTCATGGTTCATTAGTCAATTTTAATTTTCCATGGTTTTGTCAGTTTATCAGATACTATGAGCAATAGGTCAATCATATTTGGTGTAAAGAATGATTATAAGGTTTGCTTGTCTGTTTGACAGGGTTCATATGACCCTGACCTCATTTTCGTGGTTCATTGGTGAATGTAAAGTTTATGTGGTTTGGTCTGTTTCGCAGGTACTTTAAGCAATAATACCACTATATTTGATGTATGGAATGATTGTAAGGTGTACATGTCTGTCTGGCATGGTTCATCTGACCGTGACCTCATTTTTATGGATCACTGACAATGTTAAGTTTATATTGAACTTGTAGTAAAACCTTCATACTACAGACTTTCAACATAAAAACAATCATAAGTAAAGCAGGCTAGACATTTCAGTGTGTGCACTCTTGTTAAAATGCTAGCACAAGGTAACACCACACAAGAAAACTTTTCACCATACTCGTTTTTATTTTGCACTTACTCCTAAGTAGGAAAGTGGCAAATACCTATTTTAAAATCTCTTATTTGACTTGACCAGGGATCATGCTCATAAGCAAGCTACAATCAAGCTGGTTACTTTCTTCATTAGTATGCACTTACAAAGGTTTATTAGATATACTTTTCATGCTGTTGTTGATTGATTGCTGCCTAACATCCATTAGCAAATATTTTCCTTAACTCTGCTTAGACTAAAATGCTAATTTGAACAAAAATTAACAGGAACTGATAGTTCACCACCACCAGCAATGGTAACCCAGTGGTGGTGAAAAAAATGTATGGTACTAATTTAGTGCATACATCACTTCTGGAATAATCTCAATCATGTATGCTTTGTAGTATGGGTTTTGCTCATTGTTGAAACCGTACGATAACCTATAGTTGCAAACTACTTCATCATTGGTCTCTAGTGGAGAGTTGTCTCAAATTTAATCATACCACATCTTCTTATTTTTATATAGAGATTGCAAGATGGGAAAGCAAAACACTTATTTTTGTGCACACACAAAAGAAGGCCTGGCCAGCGCAGATAAAACAAGCTACAGCCACTTTTGCTGTGGCAGTTGATAGTAAAGATTGCATCAAAATGAAGAAAACAAAGTCTTTAAATAGTATATTTATCTCTCTGTAAAAACATATTTCTTAAGATAAATAAGCTACAAATAAATATTGTCTTTTATGCAAATCAGACATAAGAATATTCAATTAAGTTACATTTAAATATGAAGTATGTATGAATTGGATTTTGGTACCATTTTGAGCAAAAATGAAGTTTAAAAAGCTCAAAATAAATGATAACTTATAAATGTCTGTGAAAAAAACAAAGTACAATATATAATCTGTTAAAACAAGTTAAAAATTATTGATAACACTAGATTAAGCTTCCCGTTTTATTTTATTAGCTTAATATGTTTGATATCAAAAGTTGAAAACTTTTGTTCAGCAATTGTTTTTAGTCTTTAAATGCAGTTCTAATCTGTGCTGCACTTTCAGGTTTAGAATCATTTCAAAATCCTCCTAAATACAATTCTTGTTGATCCAAGTGTGCTAAGTATATATCTTAATTGATTTTGAAGCCTCAACCCATTCAGATAGCCTTGCGCTTTACTAAGCATATTTAAAATACCAGTTATTATAATAGTACAGGATTAAATAACAAAACAAACAAATTAATCAGCTGCAACTGAATGAAATAACCTATAACTAATTGGTATAAAAGTAAAAGATATCACAGAAAATTAAAGACAAAAAGCCTTACGTCAAACAAAACAAAAAGTTTTTAACGTGTTGTGTACATATCTATTTATAACTCAGGGGTAGAAATAAAAACCATTCCAGTACCTAGTCCAGGCAAGCTGATTTTATAAAGGGTTAGATTAACTAAAGTTAAACAAATAATTTCATTTTTTTACACTATTTAAAGAGCCTGTAAACTTCATTGAGGCTATGTCAATTTAAGAAGGAACATTCCCACAAGGCTAGTTAGTTATTTCTTCCCCTGTACTTGCAGAGATCACTTTTCAGAGCAAACAAATATTCTGCCATTTATACAGATTTTTTCTACTAGAGTCAATATTTGTATTCAACTATTATGTAGGACTTTATCATATTCTGTTATTGAAACTATTAGTTTTTATCTTTCAAGTAATTATCATAGGGAACATTTTCCCTCTTCAAACTATAAAATTTGCCTTATATTACCACACTTAAATTATTATTGTCCTCAGAAATTAAACAATTCTTTTTGAAGTAGACAACTTTTGAAGTTAAAAAATTAGCAATAGATGGAACAAAATTATGTTATTATTTAATCAAAATGCTTATAGGTTTTTACAATGAGGTATTATACAAAATATATTTATAATATTTGTTTGGGACTAATAGTTACAAGTAGCAGATATATCAATTATTTTGAAGAGTTTAATGATAAAATAATGGAATATGCTGCTAAAAATCATTATATTATTATCATTGGCGTCAATCAATATGAACACTGATTTTGTTCATTTCTGTCTTATTTTTTCATGGTAATCGAACTAAGTTTAGTTGCATGCCAGAGGTTTAAAAATAATATTCTTTATTTTGAGTGCATTTAAAGCAGTTCTGACCAGTTGATAAATTGTGATAAACCACATGTTCATTAAATTTGAAATCAAGTAATTTCTTGCAATATCCATTCGGAACATTGCACTTGGCATTTTCCATTAAATCATTAGAAAAAGGTATTCTACTACTTTACCTGTGGATTACAACATTTATCGACTCTCCATAGTTAAATTGTAAAATTTAAAATCATTTAACTTCAGCATTTTAAAGTTTGAAAATTATCTTGAGTGGATAATTATTATATTTAAAATATGAGAAGAGCGGTATCACCCATACTTGTTTAACAATATGTTGTAATGTCTTTTCAAACCATCTGCTAACCAAGCCTTAAACATATCAACAATTTCTGTTTTGAAGCAGAAAATGGACAGACAGGGATTCATCTGAATACCATTTTTTAGACTGGAGGTCTAATTATCATGAAACTTTTAAAAATAAAAATTACATTGTAGCGCAATGCTAGATTTAAATAAAAAAGTTTAGTATATCTGTGGAAACTCAGCTGCATTGTAACAAAATATAAATAAATAATAATATATAACAAAATCATCATTTTCATTGCAAGCCCAAATTATTATTTTCATACTAAATTCATAGAGTGATTTGACTGTATTTATGATATGTCAATACCATTTAAAATTGTTCCCCACTTGCTGTAGATACAGAATGTTCTGTGTGTGTAAAATGAACAATGTGTCTACTCTATCCCTGAATCAAAAAATTTAAATGCAATGAGGTGATTTTTATTGTTTTCATGTGTAATCTGAACATGTAAAAATTAACATTAACAAAAACACTGGCCAAATAAAAAAAAAAAGAAACAAAGAACTTGAAGCTAATTTGCATAGAACAAAAATAACAAGAAAGCTTTAACAATTAATTAAAAATGAACAAAGTAAACATTTAAAGTACAAAAGTTTTGGTTTATCTCATATTACATACAAAAGTGCAGTGGCTCTTTTCACAAATTATCTTAAGACTGAAATTGATTGTAAGTTAAACTGAAATGTTCATGACTTGCGAGTCTTTTTTATCGTAAGATTTTTTGGGAAATTAGTCACTGGTTTATTACACTTCACATAACACTTTATGAAGTGATTTAATATTGGTCAATTATTTCCATGATTTAGAAAAAGTTGAAAAATTTCTTTATTTTGAAATGTTGGTTTTAATACTATGTAACCATGAATGTTTTTTATTAATGAATACTGCTGTCTAATTAAAAAAATAACCATCCTAGAAATCAAACTGAGTGTATGGTGTTCATGTAAAGTAATTAGTTTTCTAATGTCTAATTAAATATTGCAGAAAGTGCTTATCATAGCACAAGTTAAAATAAAGGTATTGGATATGTCACATGATGCTGAATATAACCTATTTCAATCAAACAAGCAAATTTCCCACCGTCTTTTAATATTAAAACTATTTTTCATTTACATATAGTTTCTACATCCATAAAATTAAGACAATTTTGTTAATCTATAAGGGCTTATTTACATTTTTTGAGAATCAAATAAACATAATCACTCATTTTATCATCTTTGCCAAAATTTCCTAAGATAAAGAAATTTCCACTATTCATGAGTAACCAATCATACATTCATATGTGATTTTTTTTATAAAGCTATGGTATAATGATAAACAGTGTCTATACAAAACAGGTGAAAATTTATGTCCCATTGGTTTAAGTATGAATTCCATAATCTAAAAATAGATACATCTACAATCAACATCACATCAGTATTATCCCCAACTACATATACATGCATATGGAAAGATTCCTAAAAACAATTATGTGTTTGTATGTCCAATTCTAAACTCTTGACCTCTACCTCCTTAATCACATATTTCTTGGTCTATCTAAATTTATCTTAATTACAATGTTTAGAGCACCATTTGTGGCAGGAGATTTCCAAGTAAGACGGACAATATATTCCTTTAAATCATCTAGCCACTATCATCATCTTCGTTCTATCAGCTAGGCCGATCCACTTGGATATACTTTATTTTGCACATTGCCCATTGTTTTGATTAATAATGAAAGTCCATTTGTGTCAAGCAAAACCTGAAAAATAAGAAGAAAAAACTTTCAAAATTCTGTTCTCTCTTTTGGCATTATATTTTTTAATACCACAACATTTTGTATTGTATCAACTTATGAATCTTGTCATGAATGGGAGAGGTTTTGCTACTTGTTTCATGATTAGGTGGGTTTTTTCGTAACTTCAATCCTGTCTCCCCCTTTTCCCGAATGTGACCTAGGTTTGTAATTACATGAGCAACATGACAGGTGCCATGTGTGTAGCAGGATCTGCTTACCCTTCCGGAGCACCTGAGATCACCCCAGTTTTTCGTGGGGTTCGTGTTGCTCAGTCTTTAGTTTTCTATGTTGTGTTTTGTGTACTATTGTTTGTTGGTCTTTTTCTTTTTATAGCCATGTCATTGTCAGTTTATTTTCCACTTATGAGTTTGAATGTCCCTCTGGTATCTTTCGCCTCTCTTTTATGACTGTATAACCGAGGCCTGAGGTATATTCTAATGAGGAACAGGCTCTGTGTAAAAACTTCCCAACAATTAGATATAGATATTAATTCAATGAATAAAAAAAAACAGTATTACAGTTTAAACCTTTCATTAAATTGATACATTAAATTATAATCACAACTAAATGTTCAATTTTGATTAAGGCATGTTTTAGACCACAAATCGAAGATTCCTTAAACCAACAGAATTTATTTAAAACATATAAATTTGCTGTCAAAATCTATGGTATTTTAACAATAGTTAAACTAAAAGCAAAATCTGAAGAATTATCATCTGTATTCCTACGTTAATCATTGCAGGAGGTTTGGAGGTGTTTGTAAACACCCCTTGAAAATCAAATACAGTCAAACCTGCTATGAAGGTCACACCCTTTATAAGCTAATACCTACGTTTTTTGAACATCTATTCAAAAGTCATTTCTCTAATAAGGTCAGTTTTTTCTGTTCCCAAGGGTGACCTTTATATACAGGTTAGACTGTATACCATAACACAGGATATAAAGTTTACAATGGCATGAAATACATATCATTTAAACAGACAATGAAATTAAAAAATGTACACTGTATCTTGGAATGAGTTAAGATGTTTTATTAATAGTGACATTTAAATGAAATAAAATAACCTCTTAATGGTAACATGAAAATAAAAAGAAGATTGCTAAAAATTAGAATTTGAAGGAATTTTATTACAATTACTGTAAGCCAACTAATTTTCGAGGTGTGATTTGATTTCGCAACTTTCGCGAGTAGAAAAATAACTCGAATATAAATCGTTGCAATTGTGTAAAATTTTGATCTTCTGTTATTTAACTACATCAAGTAAATTTGAAAATTGTGAAATTAAATTGCCATGAAGTGGGCTAGAATTGGCGAAACACCAAATAAAGTATCCGCATAATGAGTTGGTTTACAGTTAATATAAATAATCAATAGAAATAAAATAAAATTTGTATGAGAAGGTGTCCTGTTAAAGATAAAGTTTAAATTAAAATGAAAGATGGACTAAGTCAAGTATGATAATTGGTGTCCTTGTTATGAATATAAAGGAGTTTTTAAAACTTTTGTCAACTGTATTAATAAATTTATCTAGAAATTTTCATCAACTTTTTAAACTAATTGAACAAGTAATTTTATATTTATGATATTTTTATTTTCATTGTACACTATAATAACTGAACAGCAGTTTATTGCAATAATAAGCATTAATGAAAATTTGTTTGACTGTCTCTATATGTAAAATTGTTTTGATAAATTGTAAATTCACAAATTTTTTGATGTCTCTATTATTGCAAAAAATATAAGGGATATGTGTCACAATAATTAATCAAGCATTTATGTCCATTGTACAATTGTAATAATAAATGCACGCAAAAATTTCTAAATTTTCAGTAACTCTTGTACATTGCTTAAGTTGTGAAATAAAACTATATACATGTATTATAACACTGCGGTTATTCTGAAAAAAAATGCACAACTGCACAGATTTAGTATAAATAAACTGCTTCCCTGAGCGCAGGTGGATACGCCCGCAGAGGTCCAACCCTGAACAGTTGGGGCAAAAATGGACACAATATTCAAGCTTGATACAGGTCTGAATTTGGATTGCAATTAAATATTTGACATATTATAGGTTTCTGAATAAATGTAGTCAAAGAACTTGAAATTGGTAATATGAATTGAATTTATTAAAGATTTCTTGCTGTTGTGCAATACACTGTGCTGTTGCGCAATTCTTAGTAAATCTGTTGTCAGACTATAAACAAATAAAGTTCAATTAATTCTCAATGTCATATTAGAAATTTATGAAAATCAAAAGGGAGCTTACATCAATAGATATAAACAATACACCAAAGTTTCATGAGAATTGCTGACAGCATTTTTGAGATATTGTCCGAAAAATGGAAAATCCCCTTTTTTAATGAATAAAACCCCATAACTCAGAAGTGTAAAATGTAAAATTTATAAAATTCTAAAGGGAGCTTACATCAATAGATATAAACAATTCACCAAAGTTTCATAAGAACTGCTGAAAGCATTTTTGAGTTTTTGTACGAAAACTGGAAAATCACCCTTTTTTTTATGAATAAAACTCTGTAACTTGGAAACGTAAAATCAAAAATTTATAAAAATCGAAAGGGAGCTCATGTCAATAGATATCAACAATTCACCACAATTTCTTGCAAGTTGGTGAAAGCATTCTTGAGTAATTGTCCGAAAACTGGAAAATCCCCCTTTTTTTAATGAATAAAACCCCATAACTCGGAAATGTAAAATCTGAAATTTAAAAAAACGAAAGGGAGCTCACGTCAATAGATATAAACAATTCACCAAAGTTTTATGCAAATTGGTTAAAGCGTTTTTGAGTTAATGTCCGACATGTTGACGACGGACGGACAACGGTATACAATAATACGTCCCGTAAACGGGCGTATAACAAAGGAAAAATTATATCTGAAATTTCTTATTTAAAGTGGTTAAAAGCAATCACTACCATGTACTGAAGAAACACTTGCACCAATTTATTTACATTACCGCAAATAAACAAGCAATTGACTGTGGTAACATGTTAGTCTAACTTGAAAAGCAGCCATTAGTTATTGGAAACTAGGTTAGTCACAAATAATTTTTTTTATTATGGTCTCAAAAGTTCCATACTATAATTTCTCCAAAATAACTTTCTGTTCATAATAATTCCACACAGAAGCCATCTTATTTGTGAAGGAATCTGTCGTATTGGATACTTGAAAACTTGCTAACACTTTTTTGCAAAAAAAACTTCCAAATTTTTTCCAGGATTTCTCTAGGATATTCATTTATTTTCTAAGTATGTTATTAGAAGACATAGGAAAAGAAATCCTTAAATATTTTAGGAGACATTTGGAAAAGCCACTGTACAAAAAATAATTTAGTCATAGTCCGTTACTTTTTTAAGCAACAAATATATCAGATTTCATACAACCATTTCAAAGACTGTACAAATAAAACTTGGAACTTGAAACATGCTACCAAAAGTTTGAGATTTAAGGTATTTTCAGGATTTTTGCCATTTTGGGGATTTTCAAGGACATTTCCAGACCTGGAATGACAGAAATAATTTCCAGACTTTTTTCTAGTTTTCAAGATAGTCTGTCATTGCTATTGAAGATACAAATGATATATATATTAATGAAAAATATGTAACGTGGCCAACCTATAAATACTATCATGTGTTGCCCAACAACAAATATGATAGAGGTGTAGACAATCCCAAGCTTAAGGCTCAAGAAAAAATTAAAAAGTGGACAAAACTGAGGAAATTAAAGTTAAAAAGGACAAATAAAATTGGTGGATAAGTTTTGAGAAGCAGTACTACTGCCACAAAATCATTTCATGAATAAATACCAAATAGCTGAAAAATATTTAAAAAATATAAAAACCAGCACAAACCTCAAACACAGGGATACATTTAGTGCATCAACACTGATTCCATACTCAAAAATTTTAAACCAAACCAGGATAAAATCAAAAATAGATATATTTGAAAATGCATTACAATCCCAGTATATAATGTGCATGCATCAATGTTCTACTCATAAATATCAACTAAAGGAAACCAATACAATTTCCCCATAAAAAAATACCTGGAATTTATCAAACATATATCCCAAATACTGAAATATTACAAAAATTTAAATATCAATCAACTATTTAATATATGTCTGTATTGTATTCAAAATGCAACAATTTTAGGATGAATGTTTTAATGCAAACTAAAAAACTAGATTGTGAAATTCTAGCATTTTTATGCAAATAAAATTGAGAGTGTATAATTCAAGCATTGGTATGCAAATAAAATAATTCTAAGCATTTTTATGCAAACAAAATAATTGTATGCACTTTTCAGCAAATAACATAATTCTAAGCATTTTTATGCAAATAAAATAATTCTATGCATTTTTATGCAAATAAAATAATTTTAAGGATTTATATGCAAATTAAATCATGACTATAACATGGCTATTAGCATTCAGAATATAAATCTAAGGCAAAAACATAATATAAATCTTATTCCTTGTTAATGCTATGTAGGTTCTATCAAGCTAAAATCAGGATTCAAAACAAAAACAGAAAACACACACAGGTTAGATGAATTGCTAACTGTTGTAAATAGAAAGCTTTATATATTATTGTAAAACTTACTTAACATCACTCAACTGTGATAACGAAAATATAATTATATTGGTGTAATAATAAATCAAATTTTCCATAATAAATTTATAAATTATTAAGAAACTAAGGTTCCTACTCCCCCATGCAAAATTGACCTTAGATGGATCTGGCTATTCTTTATACGTCCCTTTTGGTCACATAGATCCACATGAATTAAAGTAGTTATACAATCATTGGCTCTTATTTTTTGGGTATGAGTGTTCCTGACAAAAATGAAAGAACCTTAGTGAGCGCGCTCACATACCCCACGTCCCCACATTGTCATTGGAGAAATAAAATAAGTGTAAGAAAAAAAAATTGTATCAGAAAAAAAAATTGAATCACAATTTCCTCTCAATATGCACATCTACATAGTATGTCCTTATTATCTACACAGTTTCAAGAAATTCTGTTGCGTGGTTTGAGAGGAGTTGCAATGACAAAAGGTTGCAGTAGTATATTGGGCTAATAAGTTCAAAGGAGCGTAACTCCTGGGAAAAAAATTGAATCGTAATTTCCTGTCGATATGCACATCTACGTAGTATGTCCTTATTATCTGAAAAGGTTTCATGAAATTCTGTTGTGTGGTTTGAGAGGAGTTGCGATGACAAAAGGTTGCAGTAGTATATTGGGTAAATAAGTTCAAAGGGGCGTAACTCCTGAAAAAAAAATTGAATCGTAATTTCCTGTCGATATGCACATCTACATAGTATGTCCTTATTATCTGAAAAGGTTTCATGAAATTCTGTTGTGTGGTTTGAGAGGAGTTGCGATGACAAAAGGTTGTAGTAGTATATTGGGCAAATAAGTTCAAAGGGGCGTAACTCCTGGAAAAAAAATTGAATCGTAATTTCCTGTCGATATGCACATCTACGTAGTATGTCCTTATTATCTGGAAAGGTTTCATGAAATTCTGTTGTGTGGTTTGAGAGGAGTTGCGATGACAAACTGTTGCAGTAGTACATTAAAGTAAATAAGTTCAAAGGGGAGTAACTCCTAGAAAAAAAATTGAATTGTAATTTCCTGTCGATATGCACAACTACATAGTATGTCCTTATTATCTAAAAAGGTTTCGTGAAATTCTGTTGTGTGGTTTGAGAGTAGTTGCGATGACAAGAAATAGGACTGACAGACAGACAGACGGACGGACGGACGGACGGACGGACAGACGGATGGACAGACGGACGGGTCAAAAACATTATACCCTCCGCAACTCGTTGCGTGGGGTATAATAAATCCAAAAAGAGGTTCAGACACACCAAACCTATAAAGTGGTATTCTCATTTTTATTGGTTGGTACATTAAAAAAAATCTCCTTATTTTGTCAGATTTAAAGATATTATTTAAACAGCAAATAAAGTCTGTTGACATATATCTAGGTGTCTGACTGACAGTATTGTACAACAAAGTACATTGTACTAATTATGGAACTATATATATTTGATCGAAATCAATTTTCAAGGATTTTATGCTTTTTTAATGTTCATAAAGACAAAGGAATCGGACAATTTTTCAATATCCCAAATTCTTAACTAAAATCCTAAAATTAAATATCCAAAGAAAGGCAAACTTAACACTGAAAAGCGTAACACCTACAATCCAAAAATTCAGGAACCAAAAACGTAAAATTTGCATCTACTAATAAAATAACCTAAGCTGTATTTCTTTCAATTTTGAGTTAATCTTATTCAAAAGCTTTAGATAGTAACTTGTAGATTAGTTATACAGGTTCCATTGGTTCAGTGGTAAAATATATCTTTAATAACTATTTGAAATTAAAATCATCCTGAAACAAATTCTAGAAAAACAGTACAGTTTACCTCAAGAGTTTATTGAAATCACTTTATGAGGGTTATTTTTAAATCATGAATGACATACTATAACTATGTATTTGTCATGTGACTTACTAGATTCTTCTAAATTAGATAAGCGAGGACTAGTGACTTCATGAGAACTTGTGGATGATAATGACGTAGTTCGTGGTGATTGATAGGATTTCTGTGGAGTTAAGTGGATATTGGTCAAATCTACTCCATCGTCCGAGTCTGCATCACTGAAAATTAACAGTACATTTTTACCAATAAAATAAATTAGCTCATGTGGAGTAAAAAGTTGATACCACACTGATTGCAGCTTTCCACTTTCTGAATTTGTTATATTTATATTAGTTGTCTAATCCATATGGAACCAGTACACAATATGAAAACCAAATTAATTTAACTTCTATGTCATTTGAACTCTGGTGAATAGTCGTCTCATTAGAAAATCATACCACATCTCCTTATAAAGAGTGTTATTTGTATAATCATATTTTCTTAGTGGCACTCTGATACTAAGGCATTGGTCAGATGTTTGTGCCTATCTTAAAAGTTCCCCTCCATCCTCTTTAAATCTGATTAGCTACAGGATGTTAAGCAAAAAATAGTCAATTAATTTATAATTGTCAGGATTTATTCAATGGCATAAACTTGCTCAAATGTTCAATTCGATCACTAAGTAAGGTTTAGTTCTAAATAAATCAACTGAATAGTATGGTTTGACCTGAAAGAAGAATAGCTTACTGTGATGTCTACATATAGTGTAGAAATGTCAACATTGATTCTTAAATATTTTCATGAAAACAAATGTTTTCTTAATTTGTTATCCTCATGAACATATATAATGGAATTCTATGCGGCTGTCAAACAAGTGAGAGGTTTAGCTAGCTATAAAACCAGGTTTAATCCGTACCAAGTCAGGAATATGACAGTTGTTTTCCATTCGTTTGATGTGTTTGAGCTTTTGATTTTGCCATTTGATAAGGGACTTTCCATTTTGAATTTTCATTGGAGTTCGGTATTTTTGTTATTTTACTTTTTACACCAGAAAGGTTGAACATTAGTCAAACAGATATACATCATACATTCAAACTTAACAAATTTAGACCAATCTCATGCAACCAGACACAAACTGACAATGAGGAACACAATATGCAGTCAACAGAAAAATGCATCCACAACTTGTAATATGTGCCGTAGCATACATACTCTGTGAAGGATAAATATCGTTAGGACTGTATAATTATAGGAATAGGAAACACACCAATATCATTCAATAATGGCAAATGGAAGTTCAACAGGGAAAAGTTCATCATAATGCACATTTCACATGTTTAGACAGTCTGCCTTAATATTATGATCATTGTATAATAGATGAACCCATGGACATTTTCTTCACTTTTGTGATACATATGTATGTCTTAGAAAATACTGTTAACATAAATTATTTTCTGAAATGTAACTTTTCTCATTCTCAGACTTATGCTGAATAGAATAATTTGGCATTCTTTTTCTGAATCAAACTACATGTAACCTTAAAATCTATTATTACCATTGTTTAAAATTTGCTGGTATGTGTAAGGTCCTATTTTTTTTCCAGTTTGATGTTAATGGTGTTTTTTTAAAAGTCATTAAGGTTCAAATAAAAAAATCTATATATTTATTCTGATCTAACTTCCCTTTTTGAGTCCATAGGTTTACTATGATGTGTAAACTCTATTCATCAATAACTTACTAAAGTAACTTTAAAATCTTTGTATCTACTACTCAAATATTTTGGGCCCAGATATATTTTTTTGCTGTATTACCATGTTTTTCTAGACTGAAAAAGGGGGAGGTAACCCAGTTCTTACATACCTGTCTGATAATAAACTATCGTCACTATCTACATCTTCTTGTAATGCTGCCTGGAGATCAGAAATACGTTTAAACGCTAATTTGAGGTCCGAATGATTCTGTTGGTAATCTGTTTCTAATTCTACTACTTTATGTTCCTGAAATGGCAAAAATATAACAAATGATTATAAATAATAAGATCATCCTCATAATTGATAGTCATCTTAGAGAAGGAAATACAATTATATATACACATGCACAATCATAATAGATTATATCGGTGGTTCTCAATCTAGTATTGCCTGCCCTTAATACCTTGTATGTTAAATGGAACAACTCTGAAAGAAATCTTACTTTTTTCGACAAATATTCTTAGCTTAGAATTTTTAAACGTGCTAAATCAAGAAAGTATATTTCCACAAGATGAAATATCACCATAGAAGACACAAAACTAGTTTGGATCCAACAAGATTTTGCTTAAAAAAGTTTGTACTATTTGTTTTATAAAAAAGATTTATATTGATCTCACAACCGAAAAAGTTTCAAATTTTCAAGCATTTGTGTAACAGACCCTTTCAACCAACTGCAACTAGAGATCAAAAGGATATCAATTAAACTTAGATTGGTTTGGAAGGTCATCATTTGTGGTAGAGTGCACTATTTTGTACATAACTGCATTTACTGTTATGTTTTTTGGTTAAGTACTTACTAATTCAGTATTTTTATGACTATATTCTAATTCTTTCTTTTGTACATCTGAGAATTCTTCTCTTAATTCACGTAACTGTCTCTGTGAACGTTTAAGATTTTCTTCAGCTTGAGTTTTAGAAAATTTCATAGAATCTCTTTCTTCACTTAATTTGTCCACTTGTTCTTTAATTCTGTTAAGAGTAACCTGAAATAATCAATACACACTTTTTAATCTAATTTCTAATCAAATATCATAGACTATTTCTGACAAAGTGAACAATGTCCGATATAAAAAATAAGTCAGTAATAAAAATTTGAATTTATTCATACATATTTGTTTGAGGACTTCCAAGTTGCTTGCAGTTCAGAAAAAAATTCCAAACAATTTTGCGAAATGTCATATACAAAGTTTTTCCTCTTTTATATAAAAATTTTCACACAAAATATAATCATAAAATTAGATATTCTTAAACAAATTGCCCCAAAAACTCATACCAAATTCCTAATCAAATCTGTCCAAACAAAAAATTAGCCGAAGTCCTACACTATAAATAGTAATCTATCTACAGTTATATAATGGGCAAACACTGTAGTAAAGATACATAGAAACCACTCTAAAACTGGAATACAATATCTATGCAACTTACCTCTATACGATGTTTAGAGGTTGTTTCTAATTCAAGTTTATTTTCTAACTCTCTAATTCTACCCTCTAATCGTAATTTGACTGTTTTCTCAATATAATTTTCTTCTAAGTCTTTTAATCTGGTTTGCAACAGATCAACCTGCAATGATTTATACATAACTATAGTAACAGAAAAAACTTCAAACTTAAAACATCTCTGCCAAGTTAGGTTTCATTCTATTCAGTGGTTTTTAAACAAGATCATCATATGATAAATTAACAGATGGATGATGAATGCTAGCAAGAGCTGACATGGCCTCAGAACTAAAAAAAAATTGCATATATATATACAGCAAGCAATATTTGAATTGAGTTATCTCCCTTTGTAATGTTTGCAGAAAAGATGGATTTATGCATCATGCATTACTTTCTCCAATGTATGATTTTTTTATAAAAATGGTTTTCTTGACAAGTATGGACATACATGGCCATTCTTATAGATAAGACTTACCTCTGATCTGTATTTATCTTTCTCATTTGTAAGTTCTTCAATCTGTTTCAGATTATCTGCCATGGTAATCTGGTCTACAGATTGCTGAAAAATACATCAACACAATGTTAATATGTGTGTTATCTTGTTTTATCATTTATTTTCTTCTTTCTATAGAAAAACAATCTTTTGTCAGTTAATGCATCATATTCAGTGACAAAGGTTCACACTAAAATAAGGGGATCTTCTTTGATTTCAATTTAAAACCAGGTCTTTACGTGCATCATTGTGTACAATTGATTGAAATATCAAACTTTTGAGAAAAACAAGAAGTTGAGCCATTACTTGACCATCTTTTACGGTTGGCAAAGTAGGTAAATCATCAATTTTTGTTTAAACATGGAATATGCTACAAAGATAAAAGATTGATTGTTGCTTGTTTAACGTCCAGTAGCAAACAAGGATAAAATGTCAAATAATACTAAAATGAATTATGTATACCTGTTGTACTACAGCTTTATATTTTCTCATCACATCATTTAAGTCTTCCTCATTTTCTTCCACTTGACTCTGTAATTCAGCTTTCTCTCTCATTAATCCTAAACTCTTACTTTCAGCCTGAAATAAAAAAAAACATTCAGTATGTTATAAAAAAAGGTTCACTAGGTGACTATGTATAACTTTCCAAAATTAAAATTTTTAGCTTTGCAAATAATATTTTATGACTAGAATAGTAGGGGTATAGCTTTCTGATCTCCTTTGTCTTAACATCAATCCCCCTCCTTAAGTCAACTGAAATATTGATTAATTACTATCTATAAATTTCACCCCTCTCCCCAAATTAAGAATCCTCACTATACAAAAAAGTAAAGATAATAATACTGAGATCCCCTGAAGTAAATTACCTCAGTTTTAGCTTTAGAGATGTCATCTAATTGTTGTTGAAGGTCTTCTATCTCAAGTTCCATTGATTTCTTGGCTTTAACAGCAGCAGAACATGCAAATTCTTTGTCATCTAACTGTAATAAAAGTTGTCAACATTTTATACTGTGGATTTATTATTATTCGTACGAAACCAATTTTCGTGGGTTTCGTGGGTACAGGTCAACCACAAATTCAAATGTTCAACGAATTACAAATTTTCTATGGTTTTGTGTGCATTGATTGGCAAAACCACGAAATCAAATATCCATGAAAATGCAAGTTTTCCTCAATCCACGAAAATTGATACCCACGAAAATGAATGAATCCACAGTAATATATTTCATACTTTAAGATAATGATATATTTCATATTGATGAATTTCAATGCTTTTACATCTAGTTTATTCATGATGAAATAATATTTTCAAGATATTTTATATATTATTTCAATTTATCAAATAAAGTCTTGATTCTGAAAAAAGGTATGTGAAAATCTTAATTTCAAAACATGTAATGGCTATGTGATTTTTTACTATTAGAACTTAGGCTATGGCTTATAGCATCGCTCTACCAAATCATCATTGGTCTTAGAAAGAAAATGTTAAAAACCTACAGTATTTCTAAGTTGTCGTATTGTAGCTTTCATTCCTTCTGCTCCTGTCTGTTTCTGTATTACAACTTCTGCATCCTTTAATAAAGCTTTGGTTTTCCTTAGATCTCTTCGTAGTCTCTTTTCACTTTCTGTATAAAATAATTACTTATTGAAGTGAACAATCCTTGTTTCAGCAATACAAGTTACATTTGTTAAAGATCTACATGATAAAACTATATTTCACAAGTTCACAAATCCATTCATCATAAATCCTTATTTTAAAAATTGAATTCATTTTAAATTATAGATGATGATGGATTGCTGTTCAACCTCCAGTGGTAAATTAAATTTTTCATTACTAAGCATTATTTGAAAACTGTTTCTTTCTGAATAAATGAATCATGTTTTATCTTAAAAAATCAAATCTTCATGATAAACTCCTAATACTACATGGGTTCTTATTTTCTCCACTTTAGCTTTCCCACTAGGTGTTAAGCAAACATCAATCAATCTACACTTAAAAAAAATTTGTGATAATTGTTACAGAGTTACATCCCTTTACCTCTATCTCTGTTATTGGTTACAGCTCCTAGTTCCTGAATCTGTCTCTCTAGTTCTTTCTTCTCTTGCATTAATTTCTTCTTTTCATCATATTCCTCTTCCAATTGGCTTTCGTAATGTTTAACCTACAATTGAATACAGTAAAACATACATAATTCATGACCTTTGTTGAGCAACACATGAACTTAAACGTGATGCTATGCAGATGTTGATAGAGATTGGTAGGGAACTTATATGAGGGTCGTACTGGGGTTACCTTCATGACGAATAACGTTATAAATTCTTGCCAAATGACGTTAACGGTAATTTTTGGTGCATGACGATAAAATGTACACTTTCTTTTAGAAGATAAAAAAATCGACTGATTTTGACGAATCACGTTAAATTTTTTCCAAAAATAACGGTAACAATAATTATTTGAGACCTCTGACAAATCGCAATAAGGATATTTTGACGAATCACGGTAAAATTTTAACCAATCTAACAGTAGCCGAAAATGACCGTTTGATGCCTGATGGTAAAGGGCATTCCTACCCTCTTATATTATAACTTCATTCACGATTCAGTTGTTACTCTGTACTTCAATGTGGCTATTACAAATATACATCTTACAACTTTTGTTTCCTTCACAAAGGCCATTAAAAATGAAAAACATAAAATTTTCCAAAATATTCAGCTGAGAGATAACGTTTTCTCAATCAATTCTTAACTGCAAGACATACTACCCAATTTCAGTAATTTCACTTTGTTTTCTTACTATTTCTAATGAAAATATGTACTGAAATTCTCATTGCTTAATTCCTTATATTAAATCACAAATTCATATTTTTTGTATAAGATGTGCTTATCTGAGATATCACATGGAAAAAAAAAATCCAACTATAGATTTTAGTGCAGATTATCAACACATCAAAAGTGATTTAAAATATACTTACCCAGGAAAAATTAAATGACCACTTATTTTTAACAATCATAAAAATATTATTTTCCTGGATTACAGGAAAGTGATAATCCTGAATTGAATAAATACCTTTTTCTGAGTAGAATATCTCATTTCTTCCATCTCTTCTTCTTTTTCCTCCAATTCCTTCTGATGTTGTTGTCTCGTTCTTTCGTAATTCATTTCTAGTCGAATCTTAGTCTATATATAAAATAAAATGCACCAATGATTGCTGATTATATGAAAAAGACAAACTAGAAACATATTTGTTCAGCTTTGTATTTAGTTTTCCTTTACACAATATGAATAAAGTTACCTATGAACACAGTTTTACCAACTGATTATGGTCTAATGCAACATTGATAATGAATAGAATAGCTGAACTCTTCTGTTTTGTTTTCTTCTTGTTATGACCTTCTTAATATGTTTAGTTGCATTTAGCAGGAAAGACTGTTGGGAAAGGAGGTCAATGTAAATTGTCCATAAATTGAACTTGAATTGTGTATCCTGTATTACAATTTGATATTGCTGATTGTTATTTGAATCCAGCCACTCACTGATTATGATTCACTCATCTATAAATACATTATACTAATTTCTGTTATTGAAAACCGCCCACCTGTTCTAACTGTTGTATTTGTCCTGCTTGTTCATCCAATTCTTCTTCCTGGTCTTTGCACTTAGCATCCAAATCATTCTTTGCTTTCTTAAGGGACATGACTTCATTACCACCAGACATAGAGCCAGCTAATGTGACGTCTATCATCTCTCTATCCAAACGATCAGCCTTTTCTGTCACTGATTCTAAATCTCCTTTCAATCTCTGTATAAATATATTATAATTAGTATTTAAAAAGGCAGGAATTTAAAAAAAAGGCTTGTAATTTTTTATATTAGATGTACAAAGTGCAAACAAGAAAATTCCTTAACCCTAACCTTATGACTGAGCAAAACATGTCCTACAAGTAAAAATCATTTAACATTAAATCTCAATGGCCCCACTAGTTTAACAATCACCAAACTGTGTCTGTATTATGATGACTACATTTGATGATTCCAGAAATAGTCTGTTATCTTCTCCAGGTTACCAAAATTTAAGACAATAGAATTCACAAACATTTTTTTCTTCTTCCTAAAACACAATGAAGATTGAAAACAAAGAAATTTGGACTGCCACATGGAAATTAGGGTATGTTGGATAGGGCACAGAAATTTTGCCTTCAAACAGTAAAAAAATCTAAAAGCAGAATAGAAATACAACAGAAAGTTGTATAACATTATTTCAGTTGTATAAATAACGGATACTTTACCCATATTTACAATTAAAAAATAAAGTAATCAATACCTAGCTACTAAAGTGGTCTTTCTAAGTGTCATATTGACATTGTTTATATCTGCTTGCGACCAAGTACCAAACATAGTTTCAATATATAGTGAAATTTTGTTTTTGAAAAGAGGCATAAAAACGGATATGAGATAGATATGAAATAATAAAGAGGTCTTCCTTATTTCAAAGATAGAGACCTTGCATAAATCTCTGAGCCTATGAATTTGAACATCTTAATACTAAACCCTCCTATAATGTACTGTCCTCTCTAGCTTTGTGTTTATAATTTGTAAATCAAGTTATTTGTCCATGCACATTTAATGTATATCCATTCTTATTTTTGAAATGCACATTACAATAGTTGAATTTCTTAAATTTAACTACAACTAAACATACTGTGAGCTCTTGTTCTAATGTAAAGTTCTTGGACATGAATTCATCTTTCTCCCTCTGTAATCTTTCTCTCATACTTTTTTCACTCTTCACTTCCTCCTGAATTTTGGACAATTCAGAGTCAAACCTAAAAACAAAAGCATTTTTTTTTTACATTTAACAGGAAATATACAGTTTAATTCTATTCATTTCAATTTTATCTCACATCACATTTGATTTTACATATACAGTTGTAAACCAACTAGTTTTTAAAAATGATTTATTTACTCGACATTCTAAGAGTAGAAATATAAACTGCACATATATATTTTGGCAAAAATGTTAAAACTTGGATCTTTCCTTATATAAATACATCAACAAACTAAGAAAGCAGTGAAAATTATTTGTAGCGAAGTTGGCAACAAAGGTGAAAAAGATTTCAGCAAAAATAAGTGTGTTTATTGTTAGTATTGGATTATTTGATGGCTTTCTGTTTTCAGTCTTATTTTTCAACTTTTTCTACTGTGTGAATTAAACCACAAAATCATCGCTTTTTCTCTTTTTATATTTTTTAAAGTATGTCTTTGTCCCATAGTTCAATCTTGAGTTGTTTTTTATGAATTAATTACATAGGTTGACCCGAGGTAAATGACATAAATGGACCATGTGTTCTTTCTGTGATTTAATAACATAAGAATTGTGACATAAGAAAAGTACAGAAAATGCATCAATATGAAAGTCATCTATACAATCCAAAGTATCTTACCTTCTCTGTTTCCTCTCTAGTTCATTGTTCCTTGTCATCTGTTCCTCTAGATGTAGTTTGGTATCCTGCATCTCAGCTGCCAGTCGTGAAGCCTTCTTTTTAGAAGCAGCCAACAATCTTCTCTGATCTTCCCCATCTTCAATAGCATCATGGAGCTGTAATGAAATAATTTTGAATAATGAGTACATAATAATATATAATAACACTTAGTCTTCAATTTACCTTAAAATTACCAAACATAATCCCCAGTCACTTCTGACACCTTATAATATCTGACAATTAACAGCTTGCTTTAAAAAAAACTTTATTTATTCACTTGCAAAGGTGTTTAATATAAGAATTTCTCTAATTCTGTGTGCATTTAAAATGGTTCTGACCAGTTTGATACATTTTGATAAACCACACTTTGATTAAATTTGTCTCCTTTCAGAATATTGACTCTGCATTTTGCATTAAATCATTAGAGAAAGAGATTCATATATCTCTTTAATTTTCATCTCTTGACATTCTAAGTGTTACCAAATTCAAAACAGATTTGATGAACATTTGAGTGCAGAAGAATTAATTTCAGGTATCTATAAATATATCATAGTTCTAGGAAAGAATAAAATTAAAATAATTGAAAACAAAAATACATATCATATTATTATAGAAAACAAATGAAGAAACACAAAAACTCTTCTTACTTGACTTAATAGTTTTGCTCTCGACATCTCATTAGTATCCAACATTTCATCTAGATGCTTACGCAAAAACACTTTTAAAAAGTTTCTAATATTTCAAAACCATCAATATCCATAAACCTCCAGGTTTAATTAAAAGGGCACCTAGTTACCTCAAACTAATTTATTTACTGTAATGTAAACAAAGTTTTTACCATCTTCACAATTTATTCCTCATATTTAACATTGCTGTATACAACTCCACTACTGACACAAACCAAATGGTCAGCAGATGAATCAAACGCACCTTTCATTCATAGTAGCTAAACAATTTATCGCTACTTAATGATACATTTTATTCACTTGCATTACAGAAATCTTATACCAAGATAATAAATGCAAAAATTCAAAAGATTCAAGAATTTATCAAACAGAAATAAATCCTTTCAGCTGTCTTGAAATCTATATATCAATATTAAAATTCAGTTTTTGCCATTCTCTTTAAAAATTAGCTATTCCTCTGAATACAATCTAGTGCTTATTTTAAAATTTTCTTTTATTACTCTATTCTTTAAAAAAAAAAAAAAAAAAAGAGGCCCTGTATGGGGGATTTGCAGTATTCTCCCCAATATTTTCAAATACTGTAAATTGAGAAATTATTGTGTGCATTTATTGTTGTGATTGTAGAACAATGGACACACATGCCATAATAATTATTGCTATTTCATGATATACCGCATACTGCATACAAATAATACTATCAAAATTTGAAATGCCAGTTTTTTATTTTTTTTTGCCTTATCTATTATGTCACATTTTGTGCAATTATAAAAACATAGCAAAAATTTATGAATTTACAATAGTACCAGGAGATTTGAAATAGACCTTATGAATTAGGCAGTTAGTTTGAATTGTTTCACATTTTGCATGTTGGGCCTTTTATAGCTGATAATATAGTATTTTTCTCATTATTGAAGTCTGTACAGTGACCTATATTTGCTTCTATCTTGGTCATTTGAACTCTGGTGGCTTTGTTGTCTCATTAGCAATCATACCACATCTTCTTATTTTTATGCTTACCATTATTTGGGAATCTGACCAGAGATTTTGCAACACTTGACCTACTGACATCATGCAACAATCCCTTTTTCCTTTCTAGCACCAGATCTAGACATATTCTCATATATTTTTCTTCCTAAAATTTTCTCTCACTATATTTTTTTCTCCATTTGATTCGATACACCCCTTTTAAACCTTATATCTGACTGATGTCAGAGATGATCTCATTATTTCGTCAAACAATTAATTACAAAGCTGTGTTTTCCTTGCCAGAGGTAGATTAACACTTTACTAATTATTTTTGATGATTTTCACATACTTCTAATGGGTTTGAACTCAGTATACTGCCAAATTACATTTCAAATTTTAAACATGATGTTTTAACTAAAAAAATATAAAAGAGGTCAAATGATCCTTCTGCTTTATTAATGATAATTTCATCAAGTAATGAAATTCAGATTGTTTAGTGTTAAATTCTTTTTTTTTAAATGTCCATTGTTAATTGTATTCTGAGTAACTCACTAAAGGCTTATTACCATTTACTCAGTTAATTTTGTAAGTTATGTCAATAAAGATTAATCTCTACTTAAAGTTAAAAGCTCACAAATGATGCCTCCCTTCCCCTTTACTATTCACATTTAAAAATAGAATTATCAATTAAAAAAACTTTTTTTTTTTTAGGGGGGGGGGGGGGGGAGGAAGAAGTTCTTATTATCATGAATAATACTTGTGTCTTTAAGTATATTGATTGTTTATTCTCAAATGTGGGTAACTAATTCTGTAAATTTGATTTTAACCCCAAAAAATGTCTTTATCTTTTATAGTACCAGGTAATAAACAGAGGTCGCTCTGTTTTCAACAAAGGTTAAGTATAAACAAATCTGTCAATTTTTTTCTGTCTGTCACTACTGCAAATGATATTGTATAGACAATCATAATAAGTTTCTGTTTTTTTGGAACTTATGATAAATCAAACTATTAAAGGTGAATGATTTAAGAATTCTATTATGTTTATTCATTATAAACATAATAAACTGACGGCCAGGTGCTCTACCATCATTTAATCAATTTTATCTACAGAAGCCAGAACTGTCCTTGAGATTACGCAATCATTTTTTTCTTCTTCAATTTTTCTATTATCTTAAATGATCTGGATAACTTTCTTTTAACAGCAGCTGACATGCAGCAAATAAACATAACGGAAATCCTACGTGCTAAGTAATAAGTTAAAGATCTACACACTGATAAAACCTTCCAATTATCTTCTTGTATTAAGAAATTTTTGTTTGTACATTTTTTGTACTTTTAATTTATTCTCATTACATTAATTTCTAAGATGATGATCCCTTTCATAAACGTCTTCTAAGTAGAAATAAGCAGAAAAACAACTGACAAAAGTTCAAGTAAGTTAGTGATGACTGTTCATAATCTTCTTTATCAATCCAAAATTCAAAGGGGCTTTGATGGCCGAGTTTTCTAACTAGTCAGACTACTGTATCACTAGCCTGTCAACACTGAGGTTGTGAGTTCCAATCCGGACAGGTGCATTTGACTCCAATCTTCCGGACAGGTGCATTTGACTCCAATCTTAATTGACTAGGATAGTTAGTTTTCCTACCGAAGGTCGTGGTTCTCTCCAGGCACTCTGGCTTCACCACCAATAAAAACTGACTGCAACAAAATACAGCAATAGTGCTGAAAGTGGCGTTAAACACCAATCAATCAATCAAAAGCCAAAAGTAAAACATCTCACAGTTTTACATCAAATGAAAAATTCCACCTCAATATCATTAGACTACAGATGCAGCGATGTACAGGAATCAAGGCTAATATTTCATATAATGTCTAAATTTACTAACAGAATGCAACAATTTTGAATAAAACCATACCATTATGTCTTTAAGTTTAACAATACTGATATTTGAAATAGTTTTTTTCTGAATTTGGAATGATAATTAAATTTGGTTACTGTCTCGTTATTAATTCCATTTGTTCCTATTCTTTATTCCTTATCTTTAAGTGTTATCATTTGTGGTGTTACAAATTAACTGAATTTTATCATTTGAGAATGCAATGAAATTTAGTACCCCCAAAATGCAACAATTTTAAAATTAATCCTCCCTAGACAAATTTAGGGGAAGGGGGGACCAAAAATTATGGAACTACATATAAGGTTAATACATAGACTTTTTACAAGTCACACTCCTAAGGTTGCATTGTTGGCAGGTCTCCCCTTTTCAAAATCCTGGATCCACACCTGCCACTTACAAAAACTTTTCTACATATCAGGAGAAATGTCCTTTCATAGTTTTTTAAGTAAAAATAATTAAATTGCAAATCCATTTTTTCTCAACAGGAAAGGGGGTGTTGAATCTGTGTCTTAGAAAAATTAGCCTTAATGCATCATTCCAATAACAAACAAAATTTAACCCTGTTGATCTGCATCTCAAGCCAGAGAAGTTTTTATGATAGATAGCTATATACATTCACCAAACATCTGCCCTCCATGTTAACACAGACTTTAACATGTGTTTTAATTATCTCATAATCACTATTCCATATGTCCATCAAATTCACTTTTAAAAATCTCTTGTAATATAAAACTTCCTCTATTTTGAAACATCAGATATGCATCACAAATTAAGACAATAATGTTCTACTTTCATAATTCCTTGGTCCTTAAAAATTGCATTGTTCTAAAACTATTTTATAAACTTTTTTGTATAATGATAAGGGGACCACCAAATATCATTAATGAAGTTTTTTCTTCTTCTTCTTTTTTTTTTTTTTAAATAATGCAATAATTACATGTTAAATTGATTAAATAGATATTAACAAAAAGAATATCATACCAATTTTGTAAATTTATGACCATTTACCATTATTCTATTTTTAATACTTATGAATATTTCTTTTAATCAGACTTATCAAAATTTACAATGCAAAAAATGTTTGCAAAATTGTTTAACCTCAAGATTTTGCAATTAATATTTCTGGTATAAAAGTGCTATTAGAATCTTATTATAAAATGATCTAGCTTATCAATAAGTGCATCAACTCCTTTCCTGCTGATCAAAAGTGAAATAATCATATAATTTCCAGCAGGTTTTTAATTTAACAAAATAAAATCAATTCAAAGTATCTATATAAATTTTTAACTAATTTTTACCTTAGATGGTTTTATTATAATTTGTTCCGTCTTCATTTTAAGGTCAGCTAAAGTATAATCACATGAATCCAACATCATCAAAGGTGTGTAATTAACCTATACTGAGGCCTCCATAGGGGAGTATTATAACTAGCTGATGTATTAATTACATCACACAGAAAAATGCAAAGAAAACATGCAGAGAGGATAACGGTTTTGAAGTCATAAACTTCACTCTGAAAGTTAAATTATTTTTAGATTTTTAAAAAGTTTCCTTTATCTTGACTTATTGACCAAACACCTTTTTCACGTAACAAATAGTTACATAACATATAATTAATCTGTCCAATGTTATAAATAATTACATGGTATCATCACCCCTGGCTAATTAATTACCTATCATACAGGTATATTACAGGTATGATACACCAATTATCAGTGTTTTATGTAATATTACAAACAGCATAAAATTTAATGTCACGACAACAGCTGATCATGGTTAAATACGTAATTTCAGTCATATCTTATACTCAAGTGGATATAATAGAAAAAGGTTAATAGATATTTGCTTTTGCTTTTAAATAGCTAATATCAATATTCCATTCAAATTCAGTTAAAAGACCTCTTAAAATAGTTTTTAAACAGTTGATTGCATTATATAAACTGAATAAACAGCTGCACCAACAGTGCATGATACACCTTTATTGTGCATATTGAAATTGTTGCAAGATCAAAATGGGATATTTCAAAGGCATTTAATCATATGTTCACCAATTACAACAATTTTGTTAAGTTTCCACTGAATCAATCAAAGCAAACTCAGGTTATGGTACAATATGTGAAAAATTTACTAAAACCTGACAATTAAAGTTCCATATCTCTGAAGTGACAAACCAGAAAATTTAATAAATGAAAAGGTAGCTTCCTTTCATCAATCCCAACAATAAAGTAATGTTTGGAGGAAATCAATCAAGGAATACTGAAGTTAGTGCACTATTTGTAAAAAAAATTGCCTTAAATATAAGTTACAGTTCCATATCTCTAGAATGATGAACCGGAAAATTAAAAAAATCACAAGGATGCTTTCACCAATTCCTTCAATAATGTAAAGTAAGGAAATGAATTCAGAAATACTGGAGTTAGTGCAAGACTTATGAAGTTCTGTAACTCTGGAATGACAAATCCAAAATTAAAAAAAAAATGGGATTTTTCTGTCATCAATTCTAATTTTGTGTAAAAGTTATGAGAATTGGTTAAAGCGAACTTGAGTTATCTATCATGAAGTGTTGACTGACAGATGGACAGACATTGGTATACCATAATACATCCGGTCTTCGACAAACGTATAAAAATAATAAGATTAAAACACCCTCTTATTAAACAAAATTGCCTCAGAGTAGCCATTGTCCACTGCTGGTATACTGGAATTTTCCATATAAATAACATTTCCAAGGGTTACTTCTTGTAAAAATAAATTGATTTTCAAGCTTATCCAAGATAATCCTGCTGTAAAACGTTGGCATACATTTCAATAAACTTCAATGAGAAACTTGAGTGCGAGAGTGCTGAACAATATTTATTTTCCAAATTATTTACATTTTCAAGGGACATAACTCCCTAAAATAGTTTGAACCATGATGACTTTTAAACTCATTGAGGTAATGCTAATGTAAACCTTTGACATATCAAAATGTCAGTGTAAGAATGCGTATAATGTTGAATTTCCTTACTATTTACATGCCGGGGGAAAAATATCTTCAAATTATCAGCAAATAAAATTGAGAATGGAAATGGGGAATGTGTCAAAGAGACAACAACCCGACCATAGAGCAGCAAAGCATACCTAGAATGAACTGAGATATGTCTCACCTCTATTTTTCTATCGTAAAAAGCAAATGTTGATATTAAAATGGCAATACTTTTAACATGTAACTATGCAAAACATCCAAAGTCTCAAAGAACCATGATTTATGTTTAAGTGCCATATAATCTCTAAAGATATGAAATGTGCTAATGCTGATACAACTACACACCAAATATCAATGACTTACCATAAGTGGTTTCAAAGTCAAAAGACCATGATTGAGAGGTGGGTCCAATAATTTCTAAGGAAATGAAATGTCCCAGCTACTTCAACTGCATACCAAACATCAATGACTAACTATTTGTGGGTCCACTTAAACTAAAATATCATTGACTTATCATTAGTGGTCCCTCTTAAATTGACCTACTCACTTTATAAAATTTTTGCCACCACGGCAGAAACAGCAGCCCCAAGACCAATTCAATCTTCAAGAACACAGCCCTCCCTTAATTGTCAATCCAAATCTGTCAGTATAAATCTCATTCTGCTTTACAATACGTTATAAAACAAAACTGATATTAATGACAACGAACTGCATAATGGCTTGGCTGCGAAATGATGCATTTGTTTAAAATTACAATTCAATTGACATTTTGCAATTCTTATTTGGAATTCTTTTCACACATATGAGAAGGAATAAAAAACATAAGACTATAAATTATCTGTGTTTTTACAAAGATTGAATAATTCTTCTAAAATCTAATGACTTCACTCATTGTGGGGATGGTTTTTCAAGATTGGATATGAATTACAGAGTTAATTCCCTTTTAAGATTATTAGAAATTATATTGATCAGACATAAAGAAACTAATAAGTTTTGTATAACTGTTGATTCTGTTGATTCATCAAGATCAAGGTCAGGTTAACAACTAATCACAAGTTCAAGAGGTCAAACCAATGAACCATGATACTGGAAAACATATACATGTATTTATGAGTATGAGAAGACAAGTACACATACATTTAGATGTGTGATTTATCATCTGCAACACATGTTCCAACAATATAACCTTTATATTAATTTTCATAAAAAAAGACTGAAATATTAAAGAAACAAATATGGTCACCATGACAACAAATGCTTTGTAACTGTTTAATTTATAAAACCAATAGAACTGGTATCATTATTCTTTAATTTTACATACATAGACATCCAAGAACCCTACTCATAAGTATTCCAAAAACGTATTGGGCAAACCTTCATAAAACTGTTCCATGTTGATTTCATCTTAAATTCCAAATCAGCAATCCTCTTTCCCCAGTTAAGCAACTCTTCTTCTATACAATATTTGGTTTTGATAAATTGCATTAAAAAGTTGTCTTGCTTTCTCTATACAATATATTTAACTCTATGTACAAGTCTAAATTGAAAACAACGTTCAAACCTATGATTGCGTTGGATAAAAACCGCAATTTTTATACGTGTGCATGCAAAACAAATTTCTTGGTAGAGGAGTCTAAATACAGCACAAACAACATTTTCCAAAAGACCAAAACGTGAAAAAGTATATTTTAACAAAACTCTATGTATATATACCGGTATTGCACTGAGGTTTGAGTGAATTTTTATCACTGAAGAACATACATAAACAACTGTGTGTATGACTTTGCTGTTGGAATTATACAGATTGAGTTTTTAGTCCACTTTAAAATATGATACAGTACAGTATGAAAAGGGCATAACAAATCTGAGAAGCACAGTCCCTCCCTTCCACAAACCCAAATATATGTCGAATAGCTGTTTTTATATATGTATACTGCTATTTGGAGACCTTGACCTTTGAATTAAACGTAAAACGTTCATATTAAAAGAACCATTTTACCAAGTTTGATGAAGCTGAATTACCAGAGGTAATCTCTATAAAACAGTTTTAAACAATTACATTATTTTCCAAATGCTCTATAATGAAATTGTAAAACATTTCCCAGGAGGACCCTTTTTCTTTATAATTTCTTTTTGCTGATACATCTTTTATATATGTTTGCTACATTAAAATACCAATCAAGAACAAATCATAACATCTACTTGATCAATTACATTACCCTTCCAGTACAGTATGATTCCATTTGACATCAGGATTATTGAGATGTTAAGATGAAATGTCTACAATGCCTTATTGATGCCAGAGACTCTCATGCTCCTATTCATAAGTTGAGCTAAAAACATTCTATCCTATACCAGTAATTCATATTACTTTTATATTTATCTTCATATAACTTGAACACCAAATTACATCCTTTGATTACTGTTCAACTTTTAATAACTTGAAAACCAAATTAAACCATTTGTTAACTGTTAACTTCAAAAAACTAGTGAATCTGTGAGCTACTGCTCACTAATGATACCCCCGCCCGCTGAAAGTATAAGGTAAACAGGAAGTTGTTGAGTGATGAATCTGAAAACGCATCACACGGTATAGCTGACTCAAATAAACCCTGAAACCAAATTTCAGAAATCCTTGTAATGTAGTTCCTGAGAAATATGTGACGAAAAAATGTTCATTGGACGGACGGATGGACGGATGGACTGACGGACGGACAGACTGACAGAGGTAAAACAGTATACCCCCACTTTTTCAAAGCATTCATGGGATGGACGGACAGACAGAGGTAAAACAGTATACCCCTACTTTTTTAAAGGGGGGGGGGGGTATAATTACATAACATGTATGTTTCATTGGATTTCATAATTTTTATTGGCTGACAACAATCCCAAGGCATTCCAAAAATATATATGCAGGATTCACACAGAATGTGTTTCAGTCAGCCCTTTAACACCCCAATAAAATTACATAAAAAAACGCCTTGAATTTTTATATAAAAATGCAGACCAAATTAAACCATTTGTTTACGAGTCACACCTTCCAATAACTTGAACATTAACTTACTCCATTTATACATTATTCAACTCAATGTAAACTGAACAATATGTGTTTACTGATCATAGTAAAATAAATTTTAAAAAAACTTAGACACAACAACTTCACTGTTCAAAATATGACATATTAGATAGAAACATAACCTACCCTTTTCTCTACAGCTTTTTTAGCATGTTGTTCTGTTTCTAACTCCTCCTCGTGTTGTTTCTGTAGACGTTTCTTGGTCATATCAAGTTCTCTTAAAACTCTCTCGTATCTGTCCTTGTATACAGAATCATTTCCTGAAATTAACAACAAAATTAATTTAAGTCATCTAATATAGACATCTTTTACTTTTCAACCTTATTTTATTGAACCAGATGGACATGTCACCAATTAATGTCTCTTCAATCCTATATTTGAATGGCCATAACTGAAGGGATGATTTTTTCACTTTAGCATAGAAGAAGGAGCAAGAATTTAAAGTTGTTGAAACAAAAACCACTTTTTTTACAAGTCACTAGACATATTCAATTTTACAAACGTCAAATTTATCTTCTTTTGTAAATCACAAACTTTCAAATTAATTATTTTGTACATACTATACTTACTGTAAAACCAAAAAAAAAAAAGTAATGATTTTCTTGATAAAATGACAAATAAAATTCACATGGATTTTTGACTTTATTCTGAACATTTTCCTAAATTAAATTTTATAACATCACTCAATATTCAAAATCATGTGACCCTAAGGGTGACTGGGGTATAGAAATATGTATGGTCAACTTGGTCTTCTTCTGATTAGCAGAAAAACTCATAAGGGGCATGCTTTTGGCTGAGTGGGATGTACCAATTTGTAGCCACATCTGATCAGACTACGGATGTTAAATCTGATGCCTCAAGTTGAGAGAAAACCACACTCTCTGCCTATTAAAACAAGAGTGCACAAGCTGAAATGTCTCACCTTCTTTACTAACCATTGATATTATGTTGATAGTCCTAAGGTCAAATAAAACCTGTGAGACTGACATGTACATCATAAAATATTTCCATACACCAAATATAGTTGACTTATTGCATATAGTATTAGAAAATAAAATGCTCCGCTGGGGCGCAGCTTGATACGACCGCAGAGGTGAACCCTGAACAGTTGGGGCAAGTATGGACACAACATTCAAGCTTGATACAGCACTGAATTTGGATTGTAACTAAATATTTGACACAGCATAGGTTTCTGACACAGAATGAAAGTGGTCTAAGAACTTAAAAATTTTAAAGAAAAAAAAGGAAAAAAAAAATCCCCCCCCCAAATTTTTTGAACCCCCTTATGATTCATCACCCCCAAACTCAATCCCATCCTTCCCTTTGTGGTATGGTACCTTGCAGTACAATTTCAGTGAGATCCATATACTTGAACACAAGTTATTGTCTGGAAACTAGAAAAATGCTTGTTTTTTGGCCCCTTTTTGGCCCACAATTCATAAACGTTAAGGGCAATTACCCCCAAACTCAAACCTAGCTTTCCCTTTGTGATATGGAACCTTGCAGTACAATTTCATAAAGATCCATACACATACACACAAGTAATAATTTGTCCTGAAACTAGAAAAATGCTTGTTTTTTTGCCCTTTTATGGCCCCTAATTACTAAAATTCTGAGGGAATTACCCCCAAAATCAATCCCAGCCTTCCCTTTGTGGTATGGTACCTTGCAGTACAATTTAAGAGAGATCCATACACTTGAACACAAGTTATTGTCTGGAAACTAGAAAAAATGCTTATTTTTGGCCCCTTTTTGGCCCCTTATTCCTAAACTTTTTGGGCAATTACCCCCAAACTCAATTCCAGCTTTCCCTTTGTGATATGGAACCTTGTAGTACAATTTCATAAAGATCCATACACTTACACACAAGTTATTGTCATGAAACTAGAATAATGCTTGTTTTTTTGCCCCTTTTTGGCCCCTAATTCCTAAAATTTGGAGGCAATTACCCCCAAAATCAATCCCAGCATTCCCTTTGTGATATGGAACCTTGTGATACAATGTCAGAGAGATCCATATACTTACACACAAGTTATTGTCATGAAACTAGAAAAATGCTTGTTTTTTGCCCCTTTTTGGCCCCTAATTCCTAAAATTTGGAGGCAATTACCCCCAAAATCAATCCCAGCATTCCCTTTGTGATATGGAACCTTGTGGTACAATGTCAGAGAGATCCATACACTTACACACAAGTTATGTCTGGAAGTTACAAAAATGCTTATTTTTGGCCCCTTTTTGGCCCCTAATTCCTTAACTGTTGGTACCATAACCCCCAAAATCAATCCCCACCTTCCTTTTGTGGTATTGAATTTTATGGTAAAATTTCATTGAGATCCATTCACTTAAACTAAAGTTAGAGTGCGAAAACTAATGTGTTTTCGGACAACGACGACGACGACGACGCCAACGTCATACCAATATAGGACCACAAAATTTTTTGTGGTCGTATAAAAACAAAAACTCAAAAACTTAACTTTGACCACTGAACCATGAATATGAGGTCAAAGTCAGATGACACCTGCCAGTTGGACATGTACACCTTACAATCCTTCTATACACCAAATATACTAGACCTATTGCTTATGGTATCTGAGATATGGACTTGACCACCAAAACTTAACCTTGTTCACTGATCTATGAAATGAAGTCGATGTCAAGTGAAAACTGTCTGACGGGCATGAGGACCTTGCAAGGTATGCACATACCAAATATAGTTATCCTATTACTCATAATAAGAGAGAAATAAACATTACAAAAAATTTGTAAGGGTTCCGCGGAACCCAGTGTCTCGCCTACTTTTGCTGTTAATCGCAGGCTCAACAAAAATGAAATGAGGAAAAAATTTAATAAAAATATTCCTCTTGATACAATTTTTTTATTGTAAGAAGCTTCTGTCCAAGTTTGGTAAAAATCCAGGATAGTTTATGAATCTAATAAATGTTAACTGCAGACTGTATGTAATGTTAACTGGAAGAAAAACTAAGTCCATTTATAAGTAAAATATGGTTAAACAAGTACAAAATTTTAATAAAAATTTCCTTCTAGATACTAGCTTTTGTTCATAAACAAACTTCTGTCCATGTTTGGTACAAATCCAGGATAGTTTAAGAAAGTTATTAAAATTTTAAAAACTTTAACCTGTTGGAAGGCAAAGTTTCTGTCCCTATCTATAATACCACCGTTTTACAGTGGCAGTCCAAATTTCACACCCTTCATCCGAATGGTCCCCCCTTTCAGAACCTACATTTTGTATTATATGTTAATAGTTTATCTGCCTGTATATATATGAAATAATCACCACTGAACATTAATAAAGTAACAATCAATCAATGTGAAGTCAAATTTGTTTACATAGAAAATGATATATGAGTAACAGGAGGATTATATTAAGCATTCCATTTTTGTCATGTGTTAATGTGCAAATTGTCTACATATTTTTTTTAAACTGTATCTACATACCATCTGCATCCTCATCATTGAAATCTAAAGCTTCAGCCTGCCATAGATGTACTTGTGTTAATTCCATTTCTATCTTTTCAGCTTGTCTCTTCAATGCATTATATTTTCCCTACAATTTATGAAATGTTCATGGGTCAAAATAGGATAAGCAAACGTTACGGTTTATCAAAAATTAAAATTTATTTTATTACTAAAATAAAACTCTGCTCAGTGACTTAAATTTCAAAGTGAATGTAATTTACTTTAAACTGGAAGAGCTGGGAAAGTAACAGTTTGATGATTAGTATGCCAAAATCTCTGAAAATCTTACAAAAAACAAAAAAAACATTTTTTTGCCAGTAACAGAGGTAAATTAAACATGACTTTAAATACTAGTAAACAATCACATACAACCATAATAGTTTGTAATTTGGTTAATTTTATACATCTACAACTGTAAGATTACATTTTATCTAATCTTTTTCTTCAAAAGTGCCAACTTTTATTGATGTTGTTACCATCATTATTGTAGAACTTTACTGATATTCATAATGTTTTTTTTTTCTTTTAAAAACATTTATATCAAAACGGATAAAATTGAACATAATTGATCAGAATATTTAGTACATACATACAACTGTATTGTATTTGAAGCTTTGCGGACGTCCATCGGTAATTTTACTGTCGCAAATTTAGTTAACCTGGCTACGCGTAGCGGAGACAGGTAAACGGGTATTTGCGACAGTAAAACTACAGATGGACGTCCACAAAGCTTAAAATACAATACAGTTATCTCTATTCTAATGCAAAATAAATACATAATTCAATTTCAATCATTCTTTCAGTGTAAAATTTTCATTAAAGAAAATTCCACGAAAAGATGTTATCTTCTTTGGCCCCTAAACTAGGTGACGTCATAGGTATGCTTCCGGCGTCAAACGTAAACACCTGGCGTTTTCTGGCTTCTTGACCGCTTCAGAATGTAATAAAATTTGATAAAAAGAAGATTTCTAGGTGAGTTTTTTACTTATTATTGTAGAAATTACATGTCAATACACTCCGCAATTCAAAATGTCGGCTTCCTTAGTTACAGACAAGGAGATAGAGAATTTTACGCTTACTGTCATCCAATCAGAACCATTGATACAAAATAATTGCATTAGAATGTTTCTTATAAATCCACTTGATTTTATAACTAGTCTAAGTCAAAAACATTGATAAACACTACCTATCAACAGTTAATTATTTATTCTAGGACAGGTGTTTTTTCTGTTTTGTTTTAACGCTTGAAATAATTTTGAACACAATAATGACTATACTATCCCTATTTAAAAGACGTTAAAAACATTATGTACATTAATAGTGCATAACATCCCACAAGGAAGTCCCGATGTTCAGAGGGGAATATGAAGTTTTGTTCAATGTCATGAGGGATAGTTTCAACCAATCAAATTTATGATTTCACTATCAATATTTACATACAGTGGAATAATTATATTTGCTATATACCTGTAAATCTTTGTGTTCTTTACTAAGCTGCATTCTTTCTGCTGTTTCTGATTCCAACATTTCAGAAGCATGTGTAGCTGTTGAATGTTCTTCTATCAGGTCAGCCTGCACTTCAGACATCTATTTAATCATAATAATTTAAACATTTTATTTCATACTAAACATACATGTACAATTTATAAACAGAAAGATATTTGAATATTTCTATTCATCCTTCACAAAACAGAACCAAATAATTCAGGAATTGTTAAACTGATTGAATTAATTAAGATTTTTTTAAACATAATTTGAGATGTGTCAAACTTTCACATAGGAAAACTTGAAAGTTTAAAAAGGCTGACCTCTAGGTATATTTTATTGCATTGTTGGGTTGCTGTCACATTGAAGTTTAACCTACATCTCCTTTTTTTCTCTTTTATAATGATTATCAACATATAACATGCATATGAAATTTTTCTTTTCTATTGAAATGTTTTAATCATTTTTTAAATCATTCATGGCAAATATCTTTTATTCTCTTTATATAAAACATAGTTGAGCTGAAATTTTAATTTTTTCTATTAAGGTTTTGGAACAATTTTTTGTTATATATGTGTGTATACTCACTCTGCTATCTGTCTTTTCATACAGTTGTTTATATTCATTTCTTTCTCTTTCAATCTTCTCTAATTTGCTCTTTAAATGCTCTACTTCAATCTGTAATTACCAGTGTATGCAAAATAAATTCAGTCATTCCGTTTCCTTTTAAAAGCTAATAAGTCAATATAAATTTACTGCACCCAAATTATACATATAAATGCTTAATACATGTTTATATAAAACAGTTATGAGCTTTTATACCCCTCTTTTCTCAAGTTATTTCAAGGTTCCCCAAATCCCTCTGACTCAAGATAGACAAAAAAGTAATGTTCTTCATATTATCCTACAATGCCAGTGTGTCTACTTAAATGGCATAGCTACAATTTAGGCAAAAAATTATAATGTGTTTATTTCATGTTCCAAACATTTATAAAAGTGGAAATAATGAAACAATATGTAGCTGTTAGCGGTCAATTTTGTTCAATTTTGTCAAAATGAGCTCAAAACATTAGTGATGTATTATTGGCTTGCAAGTCAATAATTCAAACTCATTTGAATTCGTATTCATGCAACCTCTGATTTAACCCATGTTGGGGATGGATTGCAAATATGCTCAGCATATACAGTGATTCAAATGAATGTTAGGTGGAAAAGTTAAACTAGGGAAGGCAGCAGCAGGAAGACAGATTTAGTTGATTGATTGAACCACAAACGTATCTCTTCATATTTATGATTATAATGGGGCCACATGTTCATTGACAGTTTGTGTGGATCACACCAATAGTTAATCAGTAAGCATCCAGTCAGGAATAATGTTGATACTTTATAACTATTCCAGACAATGTCATGTATTGTTTCCTATGGAACTTTGGTAGTTCTAAATTATGTTTAAGTATATATTAAAGCTTTGAGAGTTTGAATAAAATAATTTTGGAGCTAATGCCCCTTCAATATTTAAAATATGATAATACTTAGTTATCTCCCTTTTATTTACTATATATCTTACCTTTCTTTCCAAAAGTTGCCCCTTTCTCCTATGAATATTTATCTAAGATGGTTGCGATCTAATTTTAAATCATAGCTTACCTCCCTTTCCTGAAGTTGCTCCTCTGTTCTATGAACATTTAACATAGGTTGTACTTTGGTAAACAGCCTCCACCATGCCCAATCTCTTATCAACATAAATTTCTTTACATTTTTCTGTATACAGCTGATTGCTATATGTTTAACCTGTGACATAATTCAGAATATCAATAAAAAAATATCTTAATATGTCTGACAAAATTTGTCTACATGGAAGTGCTTTCTTGATTTTTATTTTGAAAAAAAGTGACATGTACACCAAACCTTGTGATTGGTAAAAAAAGGATATTCAATTAATGACGAAGTTATTTTCATATTGGTGAAGGAACAGTGAAACTGCCAATTTAACTTCAGATTCTAATATTGAATTTAGAAAAGAAATATAAATAAAATGCTCCGCAGGGCGCAGCTTGATACGACCGCAGAGGTCGAACCCTGAACAGTTGGGGCAAGTATGGACACAACATTCAAGCTTGATACAGCTTTGCATTTGGATTGTGATTAAATATTTGACACAGCATAGGTTTCTGACACAGAATGAATGTGGTCTAAGAACTTAAAAATTTTAAATTGGACATTCACCTATTATGGTCCAATATCCAAAATCTAAATACATGGTTAGATTCAGCATATCAAAGAACCCCAAGAATTCAATTTTTGATGAAATCAAACAAAGTTCAATTTTGGACCCTTTTGACCTCAATGTGGACAAAGTTGATAACGGGGCCCAAAAATCTAAATACATGGTTAGATTCAGCATATCAAAGAACCCCATATATTCAATTTTTGTTGAAATCAAACAAAGTTTAATTTTGGACCCCGATTTGGACCAACTTGAAAACTGGGCCCATAATCAAAAATCTAAATACATGTTTAGATTCAGCATATCAAAGAACCCTAAGAATTCAATTTTTGTTAAAATCAAACTGAGTTTAATTTTGGACCCTTTGGACCTTAATGTAGACCAATTTGAAAACGGAACCAAAAATTAATAATCTAAATACACGGTTAGATTCGGCATATCAAAGAACCCCAATAATTCAATTTTGATGAAATCAAACAAAGTTTAATTTTGGACCCTTTGGACCTCAATGTGGACCAATTTAAAAACGGGGCCCAAAATCCAAAAACTAAATACACGGTTAGATTCAGCATATTAAAGAACCCCAAGAACTCAAGAATAAAACCCCATTGAAATTGGTCAAGAAATAAGCAATTTATACGAAGTATCTTCTTTTGCACAATACTGTGCAATTAAATATTTCTTGCTATTGCGCAATACTGTACAATTGACAATTTCTTGCTATTGCGCAATATTGTGCTATTGGATATTTCTTGCTATTGCGCAAAACTGTGCAATTGAAGATTTCTTGCTATTGCGCAATACTGTGCAATTGAAGATTTCTTGCTATTGTGCAATACTGTGCAATTGAAAATTTCTTGCTATTGCACAATACTTATTATATAATAATTTACACATCCTGTTTGGAGTGTATCTCCTACCATATCATTATTATTTGATTTTAAATATAAATCAGAAATAACCAACTTAAAATGGAAAATTTTAAAAGAAAAAAAAAAGGAAAAAAAGAAAAAAAAGGAAAAAAAAAAAAAATCCCCCCCCCCCCCAATTTTTTGAACCCCCTTATGATTCATCACCCCCAAACTCAATCCCAGCCTTCCCTTTGTGGTATGGTACCTTGCAGTACAATTTCAGAGAGATCCATACACTTGAACACAAGTTATTGTCTGGAAACTAGAAAAATGCTTATTTTTGGCTCCTTTTTGGCCCCAAATTCCTAAATGTTTAGGGCAATTACCCCCAAACTCAAACCCAGCTTTCCCTTTGTGATATGGAACCTTGTAGTACAATTTCAGAAAGATCCATACACTTACACACAAGTTATTGTCATGAAACTAGAAAAATGCTTGTTTTTTGCCCCTTTTTTGGCCCCTAATTCCTAAAATTTTGAGGCAATTACCCCCAAAATCAATCCCAGCATTCCTTTTGTGATATGGAACCTTGTGGTACAATGTCAGAGAGATCAATAAACTAACACACAAGTTATGTCTGGAAGTTACAAAAATGCTTATTTTTGGCCCCTAATTCCTTTATTGTTGGTACCATAACCCCCAAAATCAATCCCAACCTTCCTTTTGTGGTATTGAACCTTGTGGTAAAATTTCATAGAGATCCATTCACTTAAACTAAAGTTAGAGTACGAAAACCAATGTGTCTTCGGACGACGCCGGAAACGACGACGCCAACGTCATACCAATATACGACCACAAATTTTTTTTTTTCGGTCGTATAAAAATAGCTCCAATAGACTTAAGCACCATTATAATAATAAAGTCATGGTATGAATTTGTCATATCAGATTTTCGAAAAGATGGCAATGTATCATTCCTTCATGAGAAATATTTCTCTTAAAACTAGGAATTAAATATATGAAATCATTCCTAAAACACAACAATGTTACAACATACCCGTAATTCTTTTAACTTCTTCCTGCCTAAGATTCCACGACAACGAGCTTGGAATGCTACAACTGTTCCCGTAATTTTTTCATCTCTAGCTGCTTCTAACTGGCTCAGAGCACCAGCTCGGAAAAATACCTGAAAAAGGAAATTTCTGTCATAAAATACATCTGCTTAACTTGTATCATTATGATTAATTCTTTAAAAGCTCTTTTACAGCTGTATAACTTGCAGTACTTATTTCATAAGATCTTTTTTTATAATATTTTGCAAAATAATCAAAACCATATATTGTACAGCAATGGTCCTGTAATTGGTCAGTATGAGTACTCAACATTTACCATAGGATTATCTTTCTTCCAAAATCTCAATATCCCATTTTATACTTGTAGTGCAAGATCATTGATACTGAATATACTCTTTCACATGTTACTACCAATATGCTCTCTAATCTACATAAAACTTAATGATTACTTAATACCATAGTTCTGCTTCTACACTCACTTTCTTATTATCAATGAAAGATAAAGGAAAGAAGTTTACCTGTAAATTAGGTTGTTTTCTACCTGTCTGACTAGATATAAAATCAATACAAATCTTATCTGTCTGTAATGTTTTACTGTTTATTAATAATTAATCTGGATTTACAGGAAAAGAAAGTTTTTATTGTACATCATTAACCACTGAACTCATTACATTGTCCACAAGAGAATTTATGGGATGTGGTTAAAAAATTGACTCTGGTCCAAAGACATGACTCACATTTTCAATTTTTCTAATTTTTTTATTCATTCACCAAGTAATATAAAACTGCACCAAAGAAATGATTTATCAATTAAATGGGTACATCAAAGTAAAATTAAGTAAGAAAAGTTTATAGAACTAGCGGCTATAAAGAGCCTGTGTCTAACCAGGTACTTACCTGACTAAGTCCCACTCTGTAATTGAGTTTATCTAGATCTAGGTTATCCAGTATATGTAATATTGCCTGTTTTTCTGGTAAATCTTTGGCTGGTTTATTATTTGGTGATAGTAATCCTTCAAATCTCTGTCGAAATTCTCCAAAACCCATATTATCAGGAAAGCCTGAGAAAATACATAACAACATAATCAAAATATTTTAAATATGGTACTGCGAATTCATAGATAAACCATGAATTTCAATGTCCGAGGAATCATAAAATTTTTAAAGGCTTGTATGCAGACATTGGCAAATCCATGAAATCAAATATTAACAAAAATATAATTTTTCTTCATTCCAAGAATCCACAGTATATTTGCATCACACTTGGCATATAGTTGTTTTACACATGGTGTGTTGTTGTTTTACACATGGTGTGTTGTTGTTTTTCACATGTTGTGTTGTTGTTTTACACATGGTGTGTTGTTGTCTCCCACATTCTGTATTATTTGTAACAGAATGTTGAATTATTGAAATTTATTTCTGTTGAAATGCACCAACACTTTTCTTCTCTATACCTTCCACAATTGTATTGTCAAGCGATAAATATGAAAGGCTGCTGGTGGAATATTTGGTATGCTTTCATTGATGAGACTTCTCAAGTCAATGGTAGTGGCAAAACACAGGAAACAGTACACATATCCTTGAGGTTTTCATTTAAGGAGGCAGATATCTAAATTGGGACTGTTTTGTTTTTCAAAGATCTATTTTTTCCTCACATTTCTATGTAATATTTTATCACAATAGACAATAACAACTTTCATAGATATAAATAATTGCATTGGCAGCTTTATAAGAACATCCATCTTAACAATTTTATAACCATTCAAAATTTCCATAATGGTTTAAAGAAATAACAGTCTTCAGCAAGGCTTGAGGCCAAAGTATTTGAAAAACCAAAACTTTTTCAAAATTTGAAGAGCTGAAAAACAAAAAAAGGACCTATAAAAGTAAAATCAAATCTGGGCAATTCAATATTTATTATTAAAGAGTTACTTACCTTGTCGAAAGATCCTCACTGAGTCTAACAGTTCACTACCCCTAATTTGAGATCTGACGAGAGTTACATTCATGAGTACTTCCTCTGTAGCTCCAGGTTTATCCTGAGGTACAGACGGGGTTTTTAATTCCCAGAGTCCTGCATTATGTTGAGGAAGGATACAATGTACAAAATGACATTTAGTTTTCCGAACTGTCTCAATAATTGAGTCCACTTGGAATTTAACTTGTAAACACATGGAACGTTTTTTAAGTCCTGCAGTTCCTGACATAAATGTCCGTCTCATACTACCAACACGTCGTAATGAAGCAGATCCCTCCATTCCAACTATAGATCCACTCACCATACCAGCTACTGGTGCTTTTACACTGTTAAATAACTCATTTATATTTTGTCTGAAATAGATCAACAAGATATTACTCTGTCAAATAAATACTATAACTCAATTTACTCTAGATAACTATCAAGCTAATTAAACATTTCACACCTGTTTTAATAACTTCCTTAATTTATGTTTCTGTTTCTTGTCTTTTTCTCAAATGCTGTTTTATAAAATAGCATGCTTAATTTCTTTGAAAGTAAGGGAGTCTCTATGATATTACTGTAAAGTGTAAGAGTTTTCTCATTGATCAGAATCTTGCATTAGTTTTCAGCATGTTTAGCAGCATTTGTGTTCCTCCTACTTGCAATATTGATTATCAAAACTTGTTTTCCTCTTTTTTATACTGACCTTTTAGAGTCCTGCAGGACTTGAGTGGCTACTTTCATATTTGGATTATCCCTACAGCCCTTCAGCCAACCACTGGCATTATACTGTACAGGGTTGGTTCCTTGGAAATGGTTCAGAATAAATGTGTTGCCCAATGTTGATGCTTTCCTCAGTAAACTATCTCCTATAATAATATAAATATTTATATGTTGGTTTAAATTGCTAACAAGAGTTATCTATCTTTTAATACAAACATATATGCCATTAGTTTTCTCGTTTGAATTGTTTTACATTGGTTATTTTGGGGCCTTTTTTATCTGACTATCAGTATAGGTTTTACCCATTGTTGAAGGCCATACAGTGACCTATAGTTGTTAATTTCTGTGTCTTTTGGTCTCTTGTGTAGAGTTGTTTCATTGGCAATCATACCACATCTTCTTATTCTTAAAATTACGACTAATTTTGTTATAATGATTTCTAAGGCTGAAAAACCCCCTAAATATTTCCAGTAGCGTCAAATGGTCAATTTGAAAAATTATATTTCGATTAGCTGAACTAGCTTTAAACTTTCTCTTTTAACTATTATTTTTTAAAGATGTATCGTTAACCTGAGCTGTAACAAAATTTAGAGGCTGTATCAAGCTTGTAGACATTTGTCATTTACCCCATGATTCATGTACAAAATCCTCACTCACTATGCACTGGAAAGAAACAAAATATCTCTTTCAAGATAGAGAGGAAACTATTTATTCCCATCCATTAAGTTATTCTTACTTCTAACTTTCTGTTCTCCATGATGTGTAAAGAATCTGTCCATGAATGAGTCCTCCGTTGCCCCTGGAAACATACTCTCTTCATCAAGTATCCATAGCAACCCTTTTCTCTCACTGTCCTTCATCTCCTGGGATGTGTTCTTTATCTATTCAATTATAAAACAAGTCAATTCAACTTTAAACAATATAAAGTTTAGTCTCAAATTCAATTGGGATCTATAAACAGGGCTTTTTCATTAAAAAAACATAAACAAAAAACAAAAACAAAAGCAACATGAAAAGTCATGCAAAATTAATTACAGCAGCATAATTTTTTACCTGGCTGATCTTTTAAAAGTTAATAGTTATAAATTGAAAAGAGAACCAAAACTGTTTTTATTTAACAAATTCATGCACTTCTGGTGGCAGGCAATGTAGAAATGATGTAGCAAAAATGACAAAATGGAAGCCATAGTTTGAATTTGTATACATGTGTATCTACAGTTTGATTGGTTGATTGATTGTTGGTTGTTTGATGTAATGTTGATGATGCAATGAAATCAAATTAATGAAAGACACTTGTTAAACCATTATACAAAATCTAACACCATTAATTAACACCAATTTCACTATACAAAGATTTAATGTTGATATTAATAAAAAAAAAATATGCTTTCAATATATTGACTCTTAAAGCATTTTACATTTTATAAACTTATTAAAATAAAATTGAAGAACAACTTCCATTAAGCTATTTCTTATTCACATTTTGAACTTTGATCTTCGACCCAAGACCAGCATGAATTAATGATTTAACATTATATGCATATCTGAATATGATATTTATAACAAGCAACAAGAGGGAATATGATGGTGTATTGCACATGTAGACCCCCTGTGCTGTTTTAGTAAGAATAACCAGGAAATAACTCACATTGTAATAATGTCATAAATCATGTCAGATTTTATAAAATGGCATTTATAATTGATGACAATTTTTTATCATTCTTCAAAACATATATCAATTTTCATTTATCCTTTTTTCATAATTGCTACGGTTTTAATAAATGCATTACAGAGAATTAACAATTTTCAATATTTTTATGGACCACAGGCTTCCTGCAATAAATACTCATTCCAATCTGTTTGTGGTAAAATGATTTCAGGGTAAAAAAAAAATACAGGCAACTTTAATGATGGAGGCACAACAATACCAATGAAACATACTATTGCAAATATAAATTTTAAATTTCCAATGAATTCTAATGTTTCATGTCAAATAAAAACGTTACCATAGCCCTTAATACCAAATAACCACCATTACGAAAATATTTACCTTGGAATCAATATCAGTTTCCAGCTATGCATGTAAGTTATAGTAGAAAGATTGGTATGCTATTTCTCCTCACTACTACTACTAGTTACATTCCCATCCAAAACATTCTTTATTCCAATTGTAACAAATCTTAATGTGCATGTTTGCAGCAATAGCATGCACTGTGATGAATGTGAAGTGTTTCATTAGACAAAGCTTCATTGGGAATTGTGCTACTGATAGGTTTGGTTTTTAGGAGGGCTGGCTAATCATGATTCACATACCTGTGTTGCCTAGGGGTTGCAAATGTGTTCAATTTATCAAAGTTAAATTTCAGATTCTAGCTTTGAAAGAAAATCTTTTAGAATAACCAAACTTATTGGCTATCGGCAGAGAATCTTTTCAATTGTAAAGAAGTTCATGTTTCTCAAAAATTTTGTCCAATGGTTTTTTTATATGCGAAATATAACTCCTAGCATTGAACAAATTAATCATAATATGTGTTGTTGATTGTATCACACAGTTTAACTTTACAGTTATCTAGCTAAAACACAATTCCATACATCTATTTTAAATTCAATCCAAATGCAATCTATTATGATATGAAGCAGTGAGAAGCAAGCTCTGGTTTAGACAGCACACCACAGATTTGTCTTTTGTGATATAAGCTGGTACCTGATGGTGATCTGTCACTGGGTGTTTAGTCAAACCTTGTTTTGTGTTATTCTTAAGGAAAGAAATATTCAAATAATGACTTATAACTTAAAGTAGAATGTTAAACCAAGCTTTCTGCATCTATCCTGATACAATAATATTTTGCTGTATAAAAAAACAACATAATACAACTCACTCACATATAATCTTGAAAATTGTTTACATAAAAAGTAATATTTTGCTTTTTCAATAACATTATTGTAAACAAATTTAAATAGCCTTATATTTTTCTCCTAAAAGTACCTTAGATTTTCAAAGTACCTAACGAAAAACACACATATATATATATAAAAAAAAATTATCACCAAGCTATGCTTTTATATTCTAGCTTTCACTGTACATGACATACAGACAATTTCATCATTACTGGCAAGGGGGTAGGTAAGTTTTGTGATCACATCTAGTATGTGTGAATATATCGTAAATAAATCAGTGTTTTTCCTTCAAATTTTGGAAGAATGGGTGATTAACTGAAAAGATGGTGGTCAGCAATTTTGAAGGATGAAAGTTTATACAGAAAAAAAAGGAAATTTCAAATTTTAAAAGACAGGGGTCTTAATTAATGCCAAACTATGCAGCGGTTATTAGACCTGCTTTTGAATAATTAATAACTTCAAGGTTTATCCGTTATCCTTTTTACATCCCATCTGAGTCAGCTATTTTCAATAATATTGTCGCGCATGAAAAAAGATAACAATGACGTTATAAAATAAGATTTCATTTCTGCTGTAAAGAGTGTATTTCACAATAAATCTTATAAAAATTATTGGTTAAATATAGATACTAACCAAAAGGATACAATAGTTTCCATCAAATCTTAATTCATTAAAACATAAGGCTTGGAAATATCCTATCAATGCATTCAGTGGGATCATTTCTTCTATTGTAGATAGTATATTACAAGTCTTATTTTGAAATTTACAAGAAGTTTATACACCTGTGACAGAGAAATATCTAAGGTTCCGGTATTTGTTTGATTAACTATATCAGAATATAATCAATAAATAAGCCGTCATTTGGGGGAAAAATCATTTAACCATAACAATAGACACTTGCTTAATTGTTAATTTTTACAATTTTTAAACTGCAACCATTTCAGAATCCGGCAAAATATTTAATTGGGAATTAAGAATCCGCCATAATAAAAAAAAATTTGCATACTTTGTTGCCCCTGAATCGCAGAAATTTCACACCCACGAAAAAACCTTTACAGTAACTTTAAAGGTAAGGTTGGCTGTATTGGGATTTTGATGGTTCGTTCCCACATTGATTCTTATGGAATGCACACCAACAAGATGTGCTTGACAGCTTCTAAGTGAAAACTACTCTCTGGTCAGTATAAATATGACATATTTGTTTATAATTCACAGCATAAAGCAAGTATTTCTTCTAGCAAATTATACATACATACATGTGTATATGTCTGAAGGATATGATTCATGACAATATAAAGAATGCATAAAGAGGTGTGCATATAAAATAGAACAGTGATATATATGTATATATATAATAATAATCATTTCAATGTAAACATTTCAGATCAAGTGCTTGTTACAAAAGCTTTTATTGTGTAAAGCAGAGGAAAATTAGTTTTATTGAAAGTTGTTGGAACTAATTATAATTTCCATAATGCAGATTTTTTCAAGAGATTTGATTGGACAGAATGTGCGCTAGAACAAGACATACACAGGGTGGGATCAGGTGAATCAATTCTATAAGACAACCATACCAAGAACAATTCAAGTGCTTCAATTATCCCAATTAATTTGTGTTTTGAGACATTTACAATTCTACAGGAAGTATACAAAGGGAGACAATCTGGAAATGTCAAACAGACTTGTGATGTGATAAAACAGAAATACCTCTTCGGCATCATGATGATTGACATGTGTGTGTCTTGTCAATCCTGGTTGTCGTACCGTTGTCTTAAGATAGAAATATTATTTTAAAAGAAATGATTTAAATATTTAATCCAGCTGTGGCACTATTGTCTTAAGATAGAAATATTATTTTAAAAGTAATGATTTAAATATCTAAGATGGCTGTGGCACCATTGTCTTAACTTAGAAATATTATTTTCAAATAATTCTTACGGTATAATACCCTTTTGTACCTACATGTTCACTATTGACCATTTATCTTTAGACATATATTGATTAATTCAAGCAAGCAAGTTAAACATCTAAATGACTCAATTATTTAGTGATGTTTTTTAATGCAGGAAAGCGAATTCTAAATTTAATTCAGATTGAAAATGTCATGTTATATTTCAACTGTTCACCTGAGTCATTCAATTTTGAACTTTCTAAATCACCCCAGATACCTTTGTGAAACAGAAGATCAGATACGTAGCTCTAATAATTCAATGGAGGTTATAAGATAGACATATATTGATAGGCTTATACATTGATTAAAATCTATTCTGATATCTTACCAAGTTTTGCTGTGCTGGTTTGTCTATTAATGACACCATTGAAGCAGGACTACTTGTTACAAATTCAAAATCACATGTTATGCCCTCCTGTTGGAAGAAAATATATTCAGAAGTTAGTGGAGTATTACAAAAAGAACAAATAAATCTTTTCATGAGTACAAACTTTTGTGGATTGAGAAAATATTGTATTTTCGTGGATACTTGAAATCCTGTTTTAACAAAATCTTTATACAAGCCCAAAGCAAATCTATGACATATTGCATACTTAAATTCATAGTTAATGGATACCCACAAAAATTAGTCTAAGGTCAATAGGGTTTCACCCATTGGAAATTCCCCAATAATTTTTCATATAAAAACACTTTTTAATAAAATGCTCCACTGGGCGCAGCTTGATATGACCGCAGAGGTCGAACCCTGAACAGTTGGGGCAAGTAGAGTAGAGACACAACATTCAAGCTTGATACAGCACTGAATTTGGATTGTGATTAAATATTTGACACAGCATAGGTTTCTGACACAGAATGAATGTGGTCTAAGAACTTAAAAATTTTTAATTTACCTATTCAAACCATATCATTATTATTTGCTTTTATATATAAAACAGAAATAAACAATTTAAAATGGAAAATTTTAAAGAAAAAAAAGGAAAAAAAAATTCCCCCACCCCCCAAATTTTTTGAACCCCCTTATTCATCACCCCCAAACTCAATCCCAGCCTTCCCTTTGTGGTATGGTACCTTGCAGTACAATTTCAGAGAGATCCATACACTTGAACACAAGTTATTGTTTGGAAACTAGAAAAATGCTTGTTTTTTGGCCCCTTTTTGGCCCCAAATTCCTAAACGTTTAGGGCAATTACCCCCAAACTCAAACCTAGCTTTTCCTTTGTGATATGGAACCTTGTAGTACAATTTCAAAAAGATCCATACACTTACACACAAGTTATTGTCCTGAAACTAGAAAAATGCTTGTTTTTTTTGCCCCTTTTTGTCCCCTAACTCCTAAAATTTTGAGGCAATTTCCCCCCAAAATCAATCCCAACTTTCCCTTTGTGGTATGGTACCTTGCAGTACAATTTCAGAGAGATCCACACACTTGAACACAAGTTATTGTCTGGAAACTAGAAAAATGCTTATTTTTGGCCCCTTTTTGGCCCCTTATTCCTAAACGTTTTGGGCAATTACCCCCAAACTCAATTCCAGCTTTTCCTTTGTGATATAAAACCTTATAGTACAATTTCATAAAGATCCATACACTTACACACAAGTTATTGTCATGAAACTAGAAAAATGCTTGTTTTTTGCCCCTTTTTTGGCCCCTAATTCCTAAAATTTGGAGGCAATTACCCCCAAAATCAATCCCAGCATTCCCTTTGTGATATGGAACCTTGCGGTACAATGTCAGAGAGATCCATACACTAACACACAAGTTATGTCTGGAAGTAACAAAAATGCTTATTTTTGGCCCCTTTTTGGCCCCTAATTCCTTAACTGTTGGTACCATAACCCCCAAAATCAATCCCAAACTTCCTTTTGTGGAATTGAACCTTTTGGTAAAATTTCATAGAGATCCATTCACTTAAACTAAAGTTAGAGTGCGAAAACTAATGTGTCTTCAGAAGACGACGACGGCAAAATTTTTTTGCGGTCGTATAAAAAAATCTGATTTTGGTGAAATTTTTAATGTTAAATTCATAAATGTGTACAGTTTTTTACTGTCATCGTAAAATATTTTTATGACATGTCATTACTGAGAAATTATTATTTGTATACAAATATTGAAATTAAGTATCATTTTTTCCTGTATAGGCATATGATTTTTTCATGCAGAAATTCATATTTGTCTTTTAACAGTGATTCCTCTAAAAATATAAATCATAAATATATTTCATTATTATTGCAAGAAACTGCAGACATTTTTGCAATTAATGAAAAAAGTTTCATTCAATTCGGAAAAAAAATATCTTCAGTAGAATGTTTTTTAATATGAAATAATAGGGGAATTTCCGATAAGTGAAACACTTTTGACTTAAGGCTCTAGTTCCACATGAACAAAAATCAAACCCACCATATGGATAAAAAATATCATTAATGTATCAAGAAATAAATGGGGAATGTGTCCATGGCATGGGACACAGATGATGCCCCTGTTTGCATATTATGTTATAAAGAGACATAACTCAAGAAATGTAAAAGTGACGCTACCCAAATTTGTACTTGATCTGAGTTTTGTGGTAATAAGCATTGTGTATAAGTTTCATAACATTTAGTTGAGTAAACTTAAGTGAGAGAACGGAAACGAAAAATTCAGCAATTTTTCCATTTGTAAAGGGCATAACTCTAGAACAGTAAAAGTGACGCCACCAAAATTCGAACCTGATCTGTGTTTTGTGGTAATTAGCATTGTGCGTAAGTTTCATAACATTTGGTTGAGGCAAACTAAAGTAAGAGAACAGAAACGAATATTTCAGCAATTTTTTCCATTTGTAAAGGGGCATAACTCTAGAACGGTATAAGTGACGCTACCAAATTACAAATTTGATCTGTGTTTAGTGGTAATAAACATTGTGTATAAGTTTTGTAACATTTGGTTGAGGCAAACTAAAGTTAGAGAACTGAAACGAAATTATAAGCAATTTTTCGATTTGTAAAGGGGCATAACTCTTCAACGGTAAAAGTGACCCCACCAAAATTGAAAATTGATCTGTGTTTTGTGGAAATAAGCATTGTGTATAAGTTTCAGAACATTTGGTTGAGGCAAACTAAAAGTAAGAGAACAGAAACCAATTTTGGGACGTACAGATGTATGTACGTACAGATGGACAAGGGTAAAAAAGTAGATCACAACAAGCATTTTTTATATTATATCAGAAAGCTGATGTATGAAAATGTTTATTAATTGAAAAATAAAGGACATATTGTATCCACATAAAATACTTGGAAATAGCTAATATATAAGAGTATTTATGTTGTTGTACTTCATCTTCACAGTTGCTTAAAGGCATCTGGAGTTAAAAAGTTTGCATGCATCAAGATCAAGATGGTCCATAGCATCAATTAAAGGACCCTTTGAAATTGCTTGATACCTTTCCCCCTCACATCCATATTTAGTCTTTAATACCTGACTGTATTTGTCTTGTTGCATTGTAAATGTGATGTCATGGAACAACAGCTGCAATCTCTCTTGTGAATAATTGTGACATAAATCTTCAAATGTTGCTCCAGTCTGACGTCCACATGATGATGGATTCTGGAAGCCCGGAGTATCTAGGATCGAAATTGATGTTGATGTACGATAGTTGGATGATAATGATCTGAAAAAAAATATTTTCTTCATCTCAAGTTTGTATATGAAATAAAATACTATTCCTACATCAAGAAATTTTTTTTGTCATTTTGGTCGAAAATGGTTTGGACACAATTTCTCCAACAACTGAATACTGTGTAGTTCAAACTGTTAGCCTACAGTATTGCTTTCACCTCATTATTAACTCAGTGTGTGCTCTTCTGTGTAACACGTTTTTGATACACACTTTATGATCCACGTCCAAAGTGGACACTTGACAAGTAAGAAACTGATTTCTAACAATATCAATGTGCAGAAAACCAAATAATCTAAATCTATACTACTAAAGGAAGAGACCGATTTCATTGAGCCGCACTCCCCTAAAAACATACAAAGTCGGCAATATTTGTGATATGACATATAAATGTAGTGTTTTGTACTTCCTAAATTTGTCTTTGAAACAATCTTTTTTCCACAGAAAACGTCAATTTTGAGAAAATATCCAAATTCGGAGACCGTTATCGATCCGTCTCTTATGCGCTTTCGTGCATGCTCAGTCGACGTACTGCCTGCAATTCCAAGTGAAAGTAAGAAGATAGAAAATAGGACAGTTAGGCCTATAAGGATCCTGTATTTTATTGTAAGTGCATCACTTTGCTAAATTAAACGACATCCACCCTTTTTACTCAGGTGCAGAACTGTCCAAAAATGAAATGGGTGTTGAACGTGTCGAAGTGATTCTCCCCCTTTTTATGTGTAAACACAGGCACCCGACATCCAGACCTCTCCTCCCTTTTTATGTGTAAACACAGGCACCCGACGTCCAGACCCTCCCCCTTTTTATGTGTAAACCCCCTTACCCAATGTTTTGACTCAAAGATGAAATTATTTAAACTTATGAATTTATTAGCAAATAAAAAGCCCAGCTGGGCGCAGCTTGATACGACCGCAGAGGTCGAACCCTGAACAGTTGGGGCAAGTATGGACATAACATTCAAGCTTGATACAGCACTGAATTTGGATTGTGATTAAATATTTGACACAGCATAGGTTTCTGACACAGAATGAATGTGGTCTAAGAACTTAAAAATTTTTAATTTACCTATTCATACCATATCATTATTATTTGCTTTTATATATAAATCAGAAATAACCAATTTAAAATGGAAAATTTTAAAGAAAAAAAAATCCCCTCCCCCCAAATTTTTCGAACCCCCTTATTCATCACCCCCAAACTCAATCCCAGCCTTCCCTTTGTGGTATGGTACCTTGCAGTACAATTTCAGAGAGATCCATACACTTGAACACAAGTTATTGTCTGGAAACTAGAAAAATGCTTGTTTTTTGGCCCCATTTTGGCCCCAAATTCCTAAACGTTTAGGGCAATTACCCCCAAAATCAAACCCAGCTTTCCCTTTGTGATATGGAACCTTGTAGTACAATTTCAAAAAGATCCATACACTTACACACAAGTTATTGTCATGAAACTAGAAAAATGCTTGTTTTTTGCCCCTTTTTTGGCCCCTAATTCCTAAAATTTGGAGGCAATTACCCCAAAAACAATCCAAGCATTCCCTTTGTGATATGGAACCTTGTGGTACAATGTCAGAGAGATCCATAAACTAACACACAAGTTAAGTCTTGAAGTTACAAAAATGCTTATTTTTGGCCCCTTTTTGGCCCCTAATTCCTTAACTGATGGTACCATAACCCCCAAAATCAATCCCAACCTTCCTTTTGTGGTATTGAACCTTATGGTAAACTTTCATAGAGATCCATTCACTTAAACTAAAGAAAGAGTGCGAAAACCAATGGGTCTTCGGACGACGACGCCGACGTCATACCAATATACGACCGCAAAAAATTTTTTGCGGTCGTATAAAAAACGACTGGATTGTCGATTACAAACAAACAGAGAACAACATGTTCGGACACTCCCCACTCTTTGTTTCAACACTTGCCCAATTTTACCGCGATTTCGCTGGCATCTTCTAGTATATATATATATATATATATATATATGTTATACTGTGGATTCATTTATTTTTTTTTGCCACAGTCTGCATATACCCCCGTAGAAAATTTATAATCTGTTGAACATTTAAATTGGTAGTTCCCCTGTACCCACGAAATCCATGAAAATTTGTATCCAATGATAATAATCCACAGAAGTCTATTTCAAATACTTATGACTGTTTAGCTTTTAATGATGCAGAAAACAAATGGTACGATATGAGAATATAGCCTTAGAAGAAATCTATCTTCCAATTTACCTGTGACAAAGGAGAAATATATCAAATACTTAAGAAGATAAACCTGTATCCATTCTCCTATATTTTACCTGTTTATGAGTGAGACGACAGCATTAAAGACATCAGAGTAGAGCCCTATAACAAATCCTTCTAAAGCTTCTATTGCATTTGTAAGTCCTTCTTCTTGTTTGTGGGCAGGACTTGATCTGAAATGTAAAAAAAAATCAAATTAATTACTGTAAATTCAGAAATTATTGCGTGCATTTATTATTGCGATTTTTAAAAAAATAACAAAAATGCGAGTTTAATTATTGCGATTTTAGGAAAAGCTACATACAGATATATGTATTTGATATCAGAATGCGAGTTCTTATTATTGCGATACTAAAGTAGTCGCATTATTCGCATTAATAAAAACCTCGCAATAATTTCTGAATTTACAGTAGATAACATTGGAATTCTGCATTCATCTATGATTTGGAAATACAACTTAACAAACCACATATCTTGAAGTTTTATTGTTTTGTAGATGATACTTTTTCACTGAATTGTGAAATTGGTGTCAAAATTGTAATTTGGCATAAAATTTTAAAAGTTTACCTAACAATGAACATATGTACAGAAGTTCAAGTTGATGTGACCATAACTTCATTGAAAACTACCTTAACCAATATCTTTAACCTGAGAATATACTTATATCACAATATAACCTTTCTATGTTCACTGAGTCGTGAAATTGGGGTCCAAACTGTAATTTTATATATGTTTATATATATATAAAATGTTCCCATCATAAAGAATATGTGTACAAAGTTTTAAGTCGATGTGACCACAACATAATATAGTAATTCTGGTATCACAGCTTTGACAATAAGGGCAGAACTATGTTTATCAAAGATGTTTTCATAGAATTTGATGCTTTGAATCTAATAGTCAAACTTAAATCTTAATCTCGACTTCAATAGTCTTTAATATAATTTTCTGTTTTGACAGGTGTATGGGTTTTACGAACCCCCTAGACCCCCTGGCTTTGGGTACAATCTCTACTGCATTGAAAATGAGCAGCCTCACATAGCAACTTCATATTATTTCCATAATATAATACAGTTACACTTTCAGGAATATAAGCACTAACCTGGTGGAGGCCCCTCGTGTCAATGTAGATGATCCGGAAGAAGAGAAAATTTGCCGTAGTAATTCTTCTGAGGATAAACCAAGTAATGAAGCTGCCTTCTGTGCAGAACCAGGCTTAGCAAACTGTGGCTTGTTGTTCTGACCTGATAATAAAGCAATACAAGAGTTTTTTTAACAGCTTTGTTACAAAATCAACATGCCAGTTATTCATTACAATCAGTTAGTTCTTACATTAATCTAATTCATTTTAAATAATTCATTAACCTCGCCACATTTTGAATGTGCCTGTCCCAAGTCAGGAGCCTGTTATTCAGTGGTTGTTGTATAACATATTTGTTTTTCATTCATTATTTTGTAGATAAATCAGGCGGTTAGTTTACTCGTTTGAATTGTTTTAAATAAGTCATTTCAGGGCCTTTTATAGCTGACTTTGCACTATGGGTTTTGCTTATTGATTGAAGCCGTATGGTTACCTCTAGTTGTTAATTTCTATGTCATTTGGTCTATTGTGGAGAGTTGTCTCATTGGCTATCATACCACATCTTCTTATTATCATATTTGATTATAGTAAATTCAGCCATAACTGTTTCCAGTAACACACTGGATAAATTGCACACAACTGCAATATTTTTTTCAGTTCAAGTCTTATCATAAATATTTGGTTAGTTTTGATACTTTTATTGTAGGACTCATTATCTCTTATTTGGGAATATTTTGAGAGAAAATTAGTACTTCTGCAACAGAGTAACAGCTACAAACACTAATGCATATTGTTTTGAATTCCAAAAAAAAAATCCAAACCTTATTCAATTTCGTCCAGAACAGTGCTTATATTACTGTAAAAATTATGGCTTTCCTAAAATCCTGTCCTACCAACATAACTTTGACAACTCTGGCCGCATCAAAGTGACAAATAGCAGATACAATGTTAACACAACAAATATCTGTCTTTTCATCCCCTGTCCTACCAACATACCTTTGATTGCTCCGGCCACCCCAAGGTGATAAATAGCCGCTAGGACATGACATATGGCTTTCTTTTCATCCTCAGTCATGCCTACTTGGTCCATGGAAGTACAGATTTTACCCCATTGCATCATAGCTTTCTGTTTATCTTCTGTCTGTAAATTTATAGTTAAATATTAAATCTCTAATCCATGCAATAAGAACTACAGAAAAATTTCTGCCAATTTTTTTAAATAGATATTTTAATACAGCATTCAGTATAAAATTAGGTTGCATTTCCCCCTTTTAACCAGTTTGGCATTACCCTCAGGAAATTTGTCTGGGGTTTTGAATCTGTTCGATGTTTTCATTGACCAATGTGTTAGGTATTTAACTCATTAGTTTGCATGTGTGTTTTAAAAAGGGAGAATAGATAATGAAAACCATTCTTTTATATTAATAAAATGTTGACACAGAGATATTTCTCACTTGTTGGTAAAAATTCAGAATAAGACAATCTGATGGAAAGCAAATTAAAAATTACTAATAATTCAGTCACTGGACCATGACCTAGGGTGCAGGGCATCGAAATAGTAATCAAACTGATATGTACTGATAGTAATGCAACTTTATAGAAAATATAGTTGATCTATCACAAGTAGATTCTATCAAACTAACTTAAGCAGAAAACTTAACATTGAAAATTGCTAATTAGTTCAAAGTCACTGGACCATGACCTAGAGGGTAGGGCCTTGAAATAGTAATCAAACTAATATATACTGATAGTAATGCAACTTTATAGAAAATATCATTGATCTATCACAAGAAGTTCCTATTAAACTGACTTAAGCAGAAAAATGAACAATTGTTGACGCCTCCATGCCGCTGCTGCTGAAAAAATAACACAAAAGTCTCGCCAACCATGACAATTATCGCAGACGAGATAAAAAGCAAACTTTGTCTGTAAATTTGTAAATCTCCAATATTGCAAATTGCTGTTGACATGATTAGTAAGGAAATAGTATTACACTAGCACTTGCCTGCCACATCCCAAACTACTCTCTTTTCTTTCTCCTAAAGCTTAATTTTAACAATGTAACAATTATTTTTAATTGTGGAAAGATTTTTCTTTAATGTGTACACACTCTATTCCTGTGTTCACCTTGAAACAATTATATATCGGGATACATTACGTAATAAATACATATTCACCGTTCATATTCAAAATGTCATTATGCATTCAATTGAAAAAAATAACATTAAAGGAATACAGAAATGTTGTTTATAATACACAATTACAATGTGTATTGTAAATATTGTCATTTTCTTTCTGATTTATGAAGAAAAGTTTACCACATCAAACAATCAACATGGACTTTGTTTTACAAAACAAATTTAAAGAAAACTGCAATAAAACCAAGACAAGCAAGAAACCTAAAAGCTGTTTAAGCTTTCACCATGTGCATACTGTGGATTCATTTTTATTCGTTGGGTACCAATTTTCGTAAATTTCCTTGGTTAAGGTAAACCAAAAATTTAAATGTTCAAATATATGTATCAATTTTCTAAAGGCTTGTTTGCAGACTTTGACAAATGTACCAAACCAAATATCCCTGAATACCCAATTTTCCTCAATCCACGAAAATTGGTACCTACGAAAAAATAAATGAATCGACAGTAAAACAAATCAAATGTATAAAAGCTGTATGTACTTACTAAGGAGGGAACAAAACCATGCTACAACAGCAAGCTAAGTGGGATTACTTTAAAAAATTACGTATGCTACACTTATCTTTGCTTCAGTTTTTTAAATTACCGTATTTGTCCTACTAAAGTCTAAATACTTTATGCAAGCCATAGAGTTGTCATTGTCACATGGCCCAGGCTGTTATATTTGTTAATTTCATTACTTGCTAATGCTTGGGATAATATTTGATTACAATAGCCCAGGCCATGTGAAAATTTCCATCAAATCCATTGCTTGCATGAATTATTTTTTTCTTTCTTTGGGTTTGTTCTAATGGCAACTTATTTGGCACATTGTAAAGTTAAGTTCAAAGAAGTTACATGACAGTAAAAACAAACTGAAACATATCAAATAATTAAAAATGCAATTAAGTTTATAAGGTAAGGTGTTTGATTCCTAGATCATTCCATTTCTCTGAGTCTCTTTTCAAAGGATACCTGCATATAAAGAACAAATAAAGTGTATTCCCTTCTGTCTCCTTTGTGAACAGGTTTGATCGTTTTTGCATTATTTTATTTAACATTGAAATTGCATAAGAAGACACGTCTTATAAGGATCAGAGAATGAAGGAAAGGTATACTGTAAATTCAGAAATAATTGCAAGGTTTTCATTAATGTGTATAATGCAACTGTGTGAGTTTTGCAATAATAATATCTGATACATATATATGTATGAAGCTTTCCCTAAAATCGCAATATTTAATCTTGCATTTTGTCCATTCTTTAAAAATCTCAATTATAATTGCATGCAATAATTTCTAAATTTACAGTATTATGATTTCATTAATTCTAATATTTATGGTTTACTGCAAAGGATCTACTAGTGTATGGCAAGCAGGTATAAATTTTTCAAAACAATATATCATAATATTATTCTGAATTCGTAAACAAATGCTTCTACTATTAAATAAATTACTCCATAAAATGATACCATTTTTAAAAAAAAATTACAACAGCAGCAGATTTCCTTTAACTAACTTAAGGGATATACATACCCTCTGTAATGGAGTCATAAACATGTTGGGTTCATTTAGTGAATTTAACTGTAACTCAGTCCTGAAAATATAGAAAACATTACATGCATACCATACATCTATTCATGGATAGAAAATGTAAAATCTATAAGGAGTAGCTTTAGAAACTAGCAAAACAGTGGGATTTGTCTAGGTTTTGTATGCTGTGTTGTAGCATGTGGAAAAAGACATCAAATTTTTCCACAATGTATGTGCTGTTTTTATTCTACATTTTTAATAACACTGTAGACTCCTCACTGTTGTGGTTTTTCATAAGAAACCGACATTGCTTGGACAGTGACCAAACAAAATATTGATTGATTGATTAATGATTGTGTTGTAACTTCACTTTGGCATTCTTAGCTATATCAGGGCGGCAAGTTTTTTTACAAGTGGAGAAAGTCAGAGTACCGAGAGAGAACCACAACATTCAACAGCAAAACTAACATTCCTAGCCAATTTAGTTAGAGTCTAAAGCACTAGAGCAGGGTTTGAACTCACAACATCAGTATTGACTGGCTAGCGATCACTGTAGATAAACTAGCTAGACCACAGCAACAGAAACTCCATCAAAAAAAGATGACACCAAACTAATGTATCAAATATTACATTTTGCTTATAATCCAAGTAGTGAACCAGGAGATTATATTTCTATATTACACAAACACCTTTATTTGTACTGTTAAATGGCAGATTGCAGGTTAATGTATGAGGGACACTGATATCTCTTTTTACCATAGTTTACAACTCACATGCTTTTCATGTGTATCTGTTTGCACAGGCTTTTCTATCATATGGAAGTACACACATTTTGTGTGTATATACCTGACTACCTGCAATCTCATATTTGGCCTTTTGAATTTTTTATTTGAGCATCACTGAGTCTTTTGTGTCTGACATACAAAATTACAAGCTTGAGATAGAAAATCATCATCAGAAACTAAATGCACACGTGCCGTTGTCAGGTAAACATCAACGACGTCATGGGCAAAATAGCGTTAAATTATTAATAGCCTTTCAAGCTCGAGGATGCTTCTCTGTCACATCTCATCGAAGGGTGACAGATTATAGCTGAGAGACACCCTCTTGTTTGAACAAGAGTGCACATGCTGAAATGTCTTGCCTTCTTTACTAACCATTAATTGTATGTTTATAGTCCTAAATATAAAGCTTTAATACAAGTAACACATAAACTTAACATGATCCAAGAAAATGAGGTCAAGGTCAGATAAACCAAATGAGAAATACATGTACACCTTACAATCATTCAATAAACTAAACATAGTTGACCTATTGCTTATAGTTTCTAAGAAACAGTCTTAACCAAGAAAACTTAACATTGACCAATGAACCATGAAAATGAAGTCAAGGTCAGATGAACCATGCCAGACAGACATGTACACCTTACAATCAATTTATGCATTAAATATAGTTGACCTATTGCTTATAGTATCTAAGAAACAAACTTAACCATGAAAACTTAACATTGACCAATGAACCATGTCAAGGTCAGATGATACCTGCCAGACAGACATATACACCTTACAATCCTTCCATACAACAAATATAGTTGATCTATTGCTTATAGTTGAAGAAAAACAGACCAAAACACAAAAACTTAACACTGAGAAATGAATCGTGAAAATGAGGCGAAGGTCAAATAAAACCTGTGAGACTGACATGTACATCATAAAATATTTCCATACACCAAATATAGTTGACCTATTGCATATAGTATTAGAAAAAAAGATCAAAACTCAAAAACTAAACTTTGACCACTGAACCATAGAAATGAGGTCAAGGTCTGATGACACTTACCAGTTGGACATGTACACCTTTCAATCATTCCATATACCAAATATAGTAGACCTACTGCTTATAGTATCTGATATATGGACTTGACCACGAAAACTTAACCTTGTTCACTAATCCATGAAATGAGGTCGAGGTCAAATGAAAATTGTCTGACGGGCATGAGGACCTTGCAAGGTACGCACATACTAAATATAGTTATCCTATTAGTAGCTATTACTGAACCATGAAAATGAGGTCAAGGACAATGGACATATGACAGACGGAAACTTCGTAACATAAGGCATCTATATACAAAGTATGAAGTATCCAGGTCTTCTAGCTTCTAAAATGTAAAGCTTTTAAGAAGCTAGCTAACACCGCTGCCGCCGGATCACTATCCCTATGTCGAGCTTTCTGCGACAAAAGTCGCAGGCTCAACAAAAACCATTGATAATCTATAGTACATATATACCTTAATGCAGAATCTAATCCAGCCAACATTTGGTAGAAAACATGGAAGCTAGGTTCTCCCTCTGGTCTTCTCACTACTCGGGATTTCTCAAACATGAAAACCTACAATTTAATTTTATTTATCGTTATTTCTTGAAACAAATTAAGCATAAAACTTTTCAAGTATCTACCAGAAATCATACACCACAATATTAGTTTGTATAAATGTTATATTATATCACATATAAAAAAGAATCTACAATGATTGTTTTTTTTTGTATCCTTGGTTTTTTTGTCCTTTCAATGTCTAGAACTGACAAATGAAATCCCCCCTCCCCCCCCCCCCCCCCAAAAAAAAAAAAAAAACCCACACCAATTTAGAAGACTGCATGATAAACAGCTATAATTTTCATAAAAATGACATGAACTGTCAATCTGGACTTTAAATCCAATGCCATGTGTTGGGAGAGTGTCACAGGTTCTAATTGTTAAAGAAACCTTGCAATAAGTGAGAGGTCCATCAATGACTTATTGTATAGTAATATTTCTGTCCATACTCAACAAACCATATATCCAGTAGCAGTCAATATTTCTTCCCTTCATCCCAGCTGACCCATGTTACTGAACCTACCAAAATGTTTGATAGTTAAAATTTGTTCTCATTCTGAATATACATGAAATATTTGCCATTGGACAGTAGTAAAAAAATCATGAAGATCATACACGAAAGTCATGGAATTAAATGAATTTACGTTATTGTTACTATAGCTTTTTCCTCAAGGTAAACATGCAGTTTTTTTGACACAGTGAGATCAAGTTTAAACAATGTTTAAATGACCCTACCTGTACTGAAGCTGAAGATATCTGTCCTGAGTGGTCGAAATCTAATGTGGTCAGTTGTGCATACCGACTAGCATTGGTATTAAGTATAGTTCTACTGTTACCAAAGGCTTCCATCAATGTGCTAACAGCTGTTAACCTCTCCACTGAAAGAGACATTACTCTTATAAAAAGCTTTCTAATATAGTGAAATATACAATGATAAAAGAAGAATGTGTCTGAAGACACGAATGCCACCTCTCAAGCTTGCATTTCAAACATATGGGATGGATGGAAAGACGGAAGGACGGAAAGACTTTCTTGGCAGGAGAGAATAAACAGCTGCGCCATGAGCGCATGATATGCCCGTCGTCTTGTGTATGAATTTTTATGCAATAAGCATAAATAGTTTCTGACATACGGCGTGACATGCGAAAACCCCCCTTTTTTTTTAACAAAAAACTCAATATCTCTAAAATAAAATTTTGAATCAAAACCAAAAAGTATACAGATCTTAAGATTAATATAACTAAGAAGTGTGTAAAATTTTAAGCAATAATCATAAATCGTTTTTGAGATACGGCGCGACATGTGAAAACCCCCCTTTTAAAAAAAAAAAAATCAATATCTCAGAAAAAAAATTTTGAATCAAAACCAAAAAGTATACAGATCTTTAGATTAATATAACTAAGAAGTGTGTAAAATTGTAAGCAATAATCATAAATCGTTTTTGAGATACGGCGCGACATGTGGAAAAACCCCTCCCCCTTTTTTTACAAAATACTCAATAACTCAAAAATAAAATTTTGAATCATCACCAAAAAGTAAACAGATCTTAAGGTTAATATAACTAAGAAGTGTGTAAAGTTTTAAGCAATAATCATAAACTGTTTTTGAGATACGGCGCGACATGTGAAAAACCCCTCCCCCTTTTTTAACAAAATACTCAATATCTCTAAAATAAAATTTTGAATCATCACCAAACAGTAAACAGATCTTAAGATTAATATAACTAAGAAGTGTGTAAAGTTTTAAGCAATAGTCATAAATTGTTTTTGAGATACAGCGCGACATGTGAAAAAAAACACACACCTGTTTTAGTTACTAAGTCCCGTAACTCAAAAATTTTTAATCTTATTTTCACTAAAAAGTCAACAGATCGTTTGACCATCATAAGAAACAACTATGTTAAGTTTCATGAAATTTGGATAAGTCATTCTCAAGTTACGGTGCGACATGTTTACGCCGGACAGACAGACGGACGGACAGACGGACACCGGACATTTGTATACCATAATACGTCCCGTCAAAAATTGATGGGCATATAAAACTAGAGGCTCTCAAGAGCCTGTGTCGCTCACCTGTATTTACTGATGCTTTGGAAATCATGTAAAATAAGGTTAAAATCATAATTAATAGTATTAGATATTAGATATTATAATGATATCTAAGATAATAACCAAAAACTAAAATTTCTGTAAAATTACTAACTCAGGGGCAGTAACCCAACATTGGGTTGTCGGATTCATCTGAAAGTTTCAGGGCAGATAAATGTAAATCTGAAGAACATTTTTGCCACCTATCAGATTTGCTCTAAATGCTTTAGTTTCAGAGATATAAACCAAAAACTGCATTTTACCCCTATGTTCTATTTTTAACCAAGTCGGCCATGATGGTTGGAAGGCGGGGTCATCGGACAAATTTCTTAAACTAGATACCCTAAAAATGATTATGGCCAAGTATGGTTAAATTTGTCTCAGTTGTTTCAGAGAAGAAGATTTTTGTAAAATTTACTCCTAAAGGGGTCGACTGACAATTTTGGTCATGACGACTTATTTGTAGATCTTACTTTGCTGAACATTATTGCTGTTTACAGTTTATCTCTATCTATAATAATATTCAAGACAAGAGTGCACACGCTGAAATGTCTCGCCTTCTTTACTAATCATTGATATTATGTTGATAGTCCTAAATATAAAGCTTTATTACAACTGTCACATAAACTTAACATTAACCAAGTAACCTTAACATTGACCAATGAACCATGAAAATGAGGTCAAGGTCAGATGAACCATGCTAGGCAGGCATGTACAGCTAACAATTCTTCCATACAACAAATATAGTTGACCTATTGCTTATAGTTTAAGAAAAACAGACCAAAACACAAAAACTTAACACTGAGCAATGAACCTTGAAAATGAGGTGAAGGTCAAATAAAACCTGCTTGACTGCCAAATAGATCATAAAATATTTCCAAACACCAAATATAGTTGAACTATTGCATATAGTATTAGAAAAAAAGACCAAAACTCAAAAAACTTAACTTTGACCACTGAACCATGAAAATGAGGTCAAGGTCAGATGACACCTGCCCGCTAGACATGTACACCTTACAATCATTCCATACACCAAATATAGTAGACCTGTGGCATACAGTATAAGAAAAACAGACCAAAACACAAAAACTTAACTATAACCACTGAACCATGAAAATGAGGTCAAGGTCAGATGACACCTGCCAGTTGGACATGTACACCTTACAGTCCTTCCATACACCAAATATACTAGACCTATTGCTTATAGTATCTGAGATATGGACTTGACCACCAAAACTTAACCTTGTTCACTGATCCATGAAATGAGGTCAAGGTCAAGTGAAAACTGTCTGACGGGCATGACCTTGCAAGGTACGCACATACCAAATATAGTTGAACTATTGCATATAGTATTAGAAAAAAAGACCAAAACTCAAAAACTTAACTTTGACCACTGAACCTTGAAACTGAGGTCAAGGTCAGATGACACCTGCCCGCTAGACATGTACACCTTACAATCATTCCATACACCAAATATAGTAGATCTATGGCATACAGTATAAGAAAAACAGACCAAAACACAAAAACTTAACTATAACCACTGAACCATGAAAATGAGGTCAAGGTCAGATGACACCTGCAGTTGGACATGTACACCTTACAGTCCTTCCATACACCGAATATACTAGACCTATTGCTTATAGTATCTGAGATATGGACTTGACCACCAAAACTTAACCTTGTTCACTGATCCATGAAATGAGGTCGAGGTCAAGTGAAAACTGTCTGACGGGCATGAGGACCTTGCAAGGTACGCACATACCAAATATAGTTATCCTATTACTTATAATAAGAGAGAATTTAACATTACAAAAAATCTTAACTTTTTTTTCAAGTAGTCACTGAACCATGAAAATGAGGTCAAGGACATTGGACATGTGACTGACGGAAACTTCGTAACATGAGGCATCCATATACAAAGTATGAAGCATCCAGACCTTCCACCTTCTAAAATATAAAGCTTTTAAGAAGTTAGCTAACGCCGCTGCCGCCGTAGCCGCCGGATCACTATCCCTATGTCGAGCTTTCTGCGACAAAAGTCGCAGGCTCGACAATAATAACCAAAAACTGCAAAATTTCCTTAAAATTACCAATTCAGGGGCAGCAACCCAACAACAGGTTGTCAGATTTGTCTGAAAATTTCAGGGCAGATAGATCTTGACCTGATAAACAGTTTTACCCTATGTCAGATTTACTCTAAATGCTTTGGTTTCAGAGATATAAGCCAAAATCTACATTTTACCCCTATGTTCTATTTTTAGCCATGGCCACCATCTTGGTTGGTTGGCAGGGTCATGGGACACATTTTTTAAACTAGATACCCTAATGATGATTGTGGCCAAGTTTGGTTAAATTTGGCCCAGTGGTTTCAGAGGAGAAGATTTCGGGCCAGGTGAGCTAAAAAGCTGTTCCTGTAGCACTTTTTTTACTTTTACCATTTAGCATCAAATAACTTGTATTTGTTATTTTTTATTTGTCAATTTTGTTTTCTTTCTTTTAGTGGAGAAATCCTATACAGCTATTCATAAAAGTGTAATTTTTCTAATTGGCCCTAAGATTTTAATGTTTTTTAAATCTGGTTAGAATAAAGTTTTTTCCTAGAAATAGTTAATTAATATCTATAATAATTTGACTACAATTTATAACAGTTTTAAGTAGTTTATTGTGCATTAACCTCAGGTCCAGAAATTGTTTGTGTCTATATATATATAGCTAGGGATTAATATAAACCTTTGCACCTTTCGGTTACAGAACATTTTGGTATGTAGGATGTGGACAAGGTTTTCCTAGCTTTTAGGTCTGAAAAATGCACAAAATCATTGTACTATAACAACATCTCTAAAATGTGCTGACTTTGGAGCCTATATAATGTACTCTTTTTACCTAGCATTCAAGCATTTGAAAGATATCCATTTGAGAACCTAATTGTGGCCTTTTGTATATTTCATGATTAAGTTAAAATTCAAGGCCATATTTTATTAAAAGTTAACCTTGTCATTACAGTAGTCCATACTTTATGTAAACCACAGATTTAAGTGCATGCATTTACATTTCATTACATTTTTTGTGTTGTAAAAACAAAAGAAGGTTACGGTTATCTAAGTGATCACTTTATAATTCACATATAACATGCAACCAACTGCACTGCTATCAACAGAGAGAAAAAAACATGATAGAAGTCAATTACTACTTTACTTAATGATTTAATTATCTGATAATAAAACACCACAAGGTCTTACTAAATCTTCTGTTACTGTGATAATTTACAGTTTTCAACGGTTTTTTTCTTGATAAAGAAGTTATTTTTGTTTTTTCTTTTTCCCTGAATGTACTTTCTGTTAATATGTGTAGAATTATTAACACAATCTATTCTATATCTATATGCTCTTGTTTCCATGTTGTGAAAAAGGAGCAAAATCGTTTTTAAATCGTTTATAAAGTGAAATACTAATATATTAATTTCAATATCTTATGTTCATTTAATTTTTATAATTCTGTAGTAAGGAAATTGTTAAACATCATAACTGGCCTTTACATAACAGTATAAGAATGGTAACAGATCTCTATCAGGTCTATGGTAACCTAGGTCTATGGTAACCTATGATTTTGTAGAATTCTAGATAGACAGAGGCTGTATGTAGATCTACAATAAATCCCTTCTTTTCAAGAACACTGAAATCCTTTTCATGTTTGGGATCTGTTGAAATTCAGATTTCAATCAGATTGATTTATTGATTGAATTTTTGTGTTTTATGCCACTTTCAGCAATATTGGCTATATCATGGCTGCAGTTTTAATTGTTGGAGGAAGATGGAGTAAGAAGCCTGTAAGAACCACGACATTTGACAAGAAAACTGACAATCCTAGTCAATTAAAGATTAGGGTCAAACCAACCTGCCACTTGCAGGGTTAAAAACTCACAACCTCAGTGTTGACAGGCTAGTGATACAATAGATGAACCACTCAGACCACTCAGCCACAGAGGCCACTCTTTAAATGAGAAGTCAGTACCAAAATGAAAATCCTTTCAAATGGTACTTCTCATAGACACTGTTTGCCTTCCTGGAGTTGTAGTAATGTTTCAACGCAATAAAAACAAACCTGTAAAAATATTTGCTACACTTCCAGCTGCTGTGATCAAATACTGCATAACATGTCTAGAATTGGATGTTTTCCCACTACCACTTCTACCCATAAAAACAACGGACTGATCTGAGCGTGATTGTAACATCTCTCTGTATGTAATCTGTCCCATAGCATAGATGTGTGGAGGCATATCTTCCTGTTTACATCCCTTGAAAATCTGCATGACTTTTTCTGAGTAAATTGATATAGGATGCATGGGGTTGATAACAGCCAAGGACGGTCCACAGTATGTATGGACAAGATTGGCTCCATATCTTTGCCGTAAAATATGTAAAGCACTGGATTCATTGATGAAGCGTAGTGCAGCAATATCCTCCGCTCTATCATACTGAGGAGGATTAGCCTAAAATAATAATTAAAAATTGGCAATAATAAAACATTTCATATGAAAAAGTACATAAGTGTGCGGTATTGCTAAATTAAGTGCCTTGGGTTTAACGTCTCCAATCAGTATAGATGTCCAAACTGACATATGATAAAGTATCATCAGATCATTACATATGATAATGATTATAATGTGTCTTGCCTTATACTTATTATATTTAATTTTTCACCTCAAACAGGATTTTTTGACACAACTTCTAATCAGAAAATTTGACAAATAATAGAAACTGCAAGTGAAAATATTCTCTATGATTTTTTTTACTAAGCTACGTCCTCTTAAAAAATTAATATTTTTATTTTACTCTCTTAATTAAAGATCAGATTTTGATTCATTATAATTATCCTGAAATTTATTTTATTCCGAAAAGAATTTCTTAGAAAATCATCAGAATCAATCTATAGTAAACAAGAGTGCACACACTGAAATGTCTCGCCTTCTTTACTAACCATTGATATTATGTTGATAGTCCTAAATATAAGGCTTTACTACAACTATCAACCTTACAATCATTCAATACACTAAATATAGTTGACCTATTGCTTATAGTTTCTAAGAAACAGACTTAACCAAGAAAACTAAATATTGACCAATGAACCATGAAAATGAGGTCAAGGTCAGATGAACCATTCCAGGCAGACATGTACACCTTACAATCAATCTATGCATTAAATATAGTTGACCTATTGCTTATAGTATCTAAGAAACAAACTTAACCATGAAAACTTAACATTGACCAATGAACCAACAAAATGAGGTCAAGGTCAGATGATACCAGCCAGACAGACATATACAGCTTACAATCCTTCTATACAAAAAATATAGTTGACCTATTGCTTATAGTTTAAGAAAAACAGACCAAAATACAAAAAACTTAACATTGATCAATGAACCGTGAAAATGAGGTCAAGGTCAAATGAAACCTGCACGACTGCATATAGATCATAAAATATTTCCATACACCAAAAATAGTTGACCTATTGCATATAGTATTAGAAAAAAAGACCAAAACTCAAAAACTTAACTTTGACCACTGAACCATGAAAATGAGGTCAGGGTCAGATGACACCTGCCAGCTAGACATGTACACCTTACAATCATTCCATACACCAAATATAGAAGACCTATTGCATACAGTATAAGAAAAACAGACCAAAACACAAAAACTTAACTATAACTACTGAACCATGAAAATGAGGTCAAGGTCAGATGACACCTGCCAGTTGGACATGTACACCTTACAGTCCTTCCATACACCGAATATACTAGACCTATTGCTTATAGTATCTGAGATATGGACTTGACCACCAAAACTTAACCTTGTTCACTGATCCATGAAATGAGGTAGAGGTCAAGTGAAAAATGTCTGACGGGCATGAGGACCTTGCAAGGTACGCACATACCAAATATAGTTATCCTATTACTTATAATAAGAGAGAATTTAACATTACAAAAAATCTTAACTTTTTTTTCAAGTAGTCACTGAACCATGAAAATGAGGTCAAGGACATTGGACATGTGACTGACGGAAACTTCGTAACATGAGGCATCCATATACAAAGTATGAAGCATCCAGGTCTTCAACCTTCTAAATTATAAAGCTTTTAAGAAGTTAGCTAACGCCGCCGCCGCCGCCGCCGGATCACTATCCCTATGTCGAGCTTTCTGCGACAAAAGTCGCAGGCTCGACAAAAATCAAGTAGGTAAAAGTTTGGATTTGAAATATTTGGTAAACTGGTCGTAAGTTTTCGTTTTTGTATTATTTCACAGTTTGTCATGCCTAGCCCTAATTTTAGCTTACTAATAAGTATGGATTATACTTATTGTTGAAGGCCATACAGTGCCCTATAATTATTTTCATCCTCATGCTTTTGTTTCTTGTCACTGGCACTCATACCACATCTTCCTATATCTATTTATATTTTATCTAGAATGAACGAAATACTGACAGTAAAAAGACATGAGAAACAACAAATCTTGCTTCTCTTTATTTTCACGGATGTTGAGACCAAACAATAATAAATTTCTATTAACTTTATTTCCCATTAAATCCAAAACATCATTGCAAACCAGAACTGTCAAAAAGGGAAAGATTCAATCAAGATAATTATAAAATCTTGTTTGCATGTATTTTGGATTATTCTATCTTATAGAAATCTACAGTCCTTTTTTGTGGTGTTGTTAAAATTTTCCATAATTTATTAAGAATTTACAACTGATTTTCTACTTTAAGTTTCTGATAATACATATACTGTTATGTAAATAAAGTTGGTAAGAGTCCAAAGAAATCACAAGTTTTAAATGAACAGAATAAATTGAGCTTCAGCTAATTTATCAAAATAAATAGTCTACTATTACTAGTTACAAATAGACATCTAACAATAATTTGTGGTAATGTCACACCTGGCTGATTACAATGAATTATAATAAAGTGTATATGAACCATCTAGGTCCTCCTTGAGACATTAATTACCTATCTTATCTATTCTATCTATTGTACAATTAAAATTCACACCTGAGGGATCACATGTTTATGTTAAACAGGTAAAAATACAGGTATAACAAACATATACCAAATAATCTTTAGACAGGTGCTGCAGGATTGGAATACTAAAGTCAAAATAAAAGTAACAGAAATGAAAAATGTTTACAAAGTGATGATATGTAACCAATAAATTAGTCGTTTATGGCACAAAATACTAGGGTTGTCCCCAATGATTGACAGGACCCCCTATAAGTAAAACCTTATTAACTACTATAAAGTATAAATTTAAAGTCGCTGAGGATCATCAGAATGAGGTCAGATTTGTTATGAGGCCCAATCCCATCGTTGGTGAATTGAGATTTTTCTTTGTGACTAATATTTGTTTGCTTTGGTATTAAGTATAGCTTATAGAAATCTTTGGATAAATATGGTTTGATAGTTGAAGTATTCTTGAAATTTAATGTATGTATAGAGAAATAGAATTTACAGCTATATGGTACGACTAATAATTGGTTTGGTCTACATGGAGTCTTCAACAATAGCCAGGTGCCTATACAGTATAGTATCTGGAGTAGATATCATAACACACCTACATGAGTGCTTCAATACTGATAAAAGCCTCTTACTTTGCGAGTCTTCAGAACAATGAATCGGTCCTTGCCCGCAAATAAAACGATGTCTTCAGTTAAATATGATCATTAAGAATATTAGTGAATATGAATAAAAGGTTTGTGATAAATGTCAAAAAGAAAGCAACCCAACAAAACATGTCAATGACATTTTATCTTGAGGTCACAATACAGCCTTCAACCTACTTTAAGCACCAACAACATTTGACCACTTTTCAATAGCCAAGAGTTTAGTGAAGTTCTGAATAAATTCAACATCTAACACAAACATTAGATTATCAATAGACAATATGCATTTAGAAACAGCAATGAACACTGACAAGATTCCAGACTACAACAAATACATTTTACTATTTAATGCTGCTCTTGTCCTTGTATTTTTTCATTTATTATATCATTAACTGCCTTTCTTCTTGAACAGTTTTTAATTGCATGTTCTATTATGTGCCTTTTGTTATACCACTGATCAAGATTACAAGGAGGAGCGTTGAGATCTCAAGAAACTAGTTTTATCCCGCAACGGCATGTGCCTGTCCCAAAGCAGGAACCTCGCCAGTAATTGTTTTTTGTTACATCTTAAATTAATATTCTTTGGCCTTTGTTAGTCTTGTATGGTTTTTTAATTTTAGTTCATTTATATGTATTGGAGTTTAGTGTGACATCCATTTTCACTGAATCAGTACACATTTTTGTTTAATGGCCAGCTGAAGCCCACCTCAGGGTACGCGATTTTCTCGCTGTGTTGAAGACACATTGGTGGCTTTGGGCTGTTTTCTGCTCTTTGGTCAGGTTGTTGTCTCTTTGACACATTCCCCATTTCCATTCTCAATTTTATTTGCCATTTGGGAATTCAGTATTCCCAGTGTTTTCCTAATTAATTACATTTGAGCATGTTCTTAGGAATGCTTTGAATTAAAGACCACCAAATAAAAGTACATTTGTTACTTCCCTCTAAGAAATGAAAACCATATTACCTTTTCTACATCATCTTCATCCACATCTAATGTATCTCCAGCATGATCCAATTTGATTCTGAGACGGCCCTCTGGTAAAACAGACATTCCATTGGCCTTGAGGACACAGGCCGAGGCAAAACCACCTTTGTGGACAAGCCATACTTTCTCTGATTCCATCCATTCTTTTTCTGTCTGGACCTCAGTTTCTGAACGAGCCTAAAATTAAAATAAATAAGATAAGTTATTTAATCTATTTTCAATAAAGGTGAAAAATTAAATTCAGAAATTCAGAATAAATTTTAGACCAAAGCAATAGTAAGCAATAATATTGTGTGGTATTACTGGGAACTTAGACTTAAATGAAAAATTGATACTGTTCTTTCTATTACCAGAAATACTTTTGTCATAAAATTTCTATTTTGATTTTAGTTCCAATTTGATTTTTTTAGTACATTTTTTCATACATCTATGTTTGTACAAAATTGTCTTTTTGTTTGTTTCTTGTTTTGGCTTTTGTTTCCTGTATATCACCTCCATATCGAAACAGTCAACATGCAGTTTATGACAGTGATTGTTTACAACTAGTTTTAGTCATTATCATATACTGTCCCAAACCTGGGACCATGTATTAGTCCCAGCCCAAACTTATTATTTATTTCTATTAGTAATAATTTCATTGTTAAAGAATATCTTTAAAAAAATCAAATCCAATAGCTTGCAATATATATTATAATGCTAAAACTTTAATTGGAAAGGTAACTAAATTAAAACTACAGTTATAAGTGTATTCCATGCAAGTTTATTACATAGCTGAATCTATTAAATCCAGCAAATTTGTCAAAATATATTCAAAAATATTGCTATACATAGAACAGGATACAGGTTTCTCACTTTTTTTCATTATATCAAAAGCTCATCATATCAATATCAAGGAGTGATCTATCAAACCTGTCATCTAAAGGTTTTATATTTTTCATTTCTTGATAAATTCTCAAAAAACAATTTATCATATAAATCATGATAACATGAGCACCTGACACCATTCTATGCTACTTGACACTGTTATTTCATAATATGCAGATTTCTGTTATTAATATGTTTAAAATTTGATTTTTTTGTGGCTTTTAATGACTGAGAAAGAAACTAATGCTACATATTTTTCATATTCAAGTAATTTCAGTCAAGTATCTAACCATAAGGAACAAATTACATGACAAAAATCTCTCAGCCAGAATACACAATTCTAAGTTGTTTTATAAAGCCCATGCTTAGGCAAGAGTTTGTACAAATCAACTAATTTGTATATAACTATGTGTCATGAGTTTGGTACAGGGTTAGTTTCCTGTGGAGTGATCACCTATTTCTCATATCATTTGATTTCACATATATATAAAAGTTTTTATTTGTAAAATTTGGAGCAAAAGGGTAATATTGCACTGTTCAACCCTAAAACATTCTTTCTATTTTTCATGAAATCACTTAAATTGCATGTTAGCTCTCCTTCAACATCCTCTCATTGTGAGAATTGTTTTCAGTCGGAGGCACAACCTTAGAAATACATGTCCAGGCTAGAATATATACCACTTATCTTATATAGTATAAAACAAGAACATTATACAAAATGCAGAGGGGGTCCATAAAATACTGTTTTTTATTTCCTTATTGTTTATTAAGCCATTATATATGCATTAATTATGCATCGTACAAGTCAATTCAATATTTTTAAAATAATGCCAAATATATAATATATTATACAAAGGGTACTTGTTAACTTATTGATCTTAATCTATTAATGGTCCACTTAATCTTAACTTATAACACATTATGCTCATTTGTAATAATACTTATTTAAAATTTAATATGCTGGATAAATCTTTGAATTTTATTTACAGTCTATTTTAAGAAACAAAGCTTTCATTCAATTTTAGGTTTGAATGAAGTAATTTCTCAAAATAAAACAGCAGCATGAGTCAATTCTTAAATTATGATATGCTGATAGAAAGAATTAAGAATTGTTAAACTGGTGAAAATAAAAAACTGAATAAAAATTGAAAACATAAAAAAACAACTTATTATAGACTCCATTTTGTTAATTTCTTCAACTCAATACAAGTGACGCTGACACTATTCCATGAATGATACAATTAACCTTTATTTTTAGGTACACAACCAGACTATTTTAAGGGTTATGTAAACACAGAGTTAGAAACCATACCAGTAACATGCTAAAAGACTTAACAAAATAAAAACATGATTTTCAATTTACTTTTTTCTTATCAAGCAAGAATTATAGCACTGAATTACTCTTCAAAAGAATGTATTTTACATTTTATGTCCATGATCTGATGACCAACTGATATCACATCCAGTTTCAGCTATACCATTTGACTGTTAGTCCTAATACATGGACTGCAGTTGAGGAGAGTTCACCTATCAGTCCAGGGGAGGTGGAGGCCTTTATACATATATTGGAAAGAGTGGCTTTTATATCTCACACTTCACTCGATGTATGACATAATTGATTTGAAATGAATAATAAATTCATAGTGGACAAATCCAGATAAAAAACAGTGGAAAAGTCTCATAATCATCTAAGGTACATTGTTTGGTAGAATATAAAATTCTTATCAACTTTAGAAACTACTTTAACATGTAAAAATCTACCATGAATTGACATCATCAACTGTCCAAAACTATTTATTTTCATATAAATATTTCTGATGGATATTAATATAAAAATAAGGAGATGTGGTATGATTGCCAATGAGACAACCATCCACCAAGTTAAGTTTTCATTTATATGTGTGTATAAACAAAATATTTTAGGGTTTCATTCTGTAGACAACATCTATGTATTTTTATAAGATTTTCATTTCTCTTCTTTAGGCACTACAGATTATATACATACATGATATAATATTTATTTATCCTTTATTATGTCAGAACTATTTAATTTGTAAATCCTATCAATTCTGGATTATATGGAATGTAAACATATAAGTAAATACTGATCAAATTCTGTTATTGATAAGGTGTAAGATCTACCATACTATCAAAACCCAAAGTAGATTTATATTGGGGGCTGGTGGGGGGAGGAGGTTTTAATGTACTTATCCAAAGGTTCGAGAATGTCCGCAGTTGTCATTCCAGACAGGGGACACATTTTTTTGGTACCAAGTAGACCAAGCCCAAAACTAGTTTTGCTTTTACATTTGACTTTTCAATATAGTCTGGGCATGTAAGTTATATTTTACATAAGATCAACAGGCAAATACTGGAAACTTGAAAATCAAGAAGTTTCATCCCAATGCAAGCCATTACAACTATATATGAGGAAAACGACTGACCAGTGTTTCATCCCAAAGACCTGTTCATTAGTACCTTATGGCAATCCTTTGCCATTCCACTACCGCTATAGTGAAACACTTCCAAGGAAACACTACTAGGTCAACCAATTTGTTAACATCTTATATCTACATAGTCACAAATATAAATTTAAGATGGTCATCATGTGTGGTATTGTAAAAGAACTAGTTATGATAAAACTCAGACAAGCAGAAGACAATTAACAGTCAAACTAGCTTAAAGCTATTTTCTGCTCTTTGGTCGAGTTGTTGCCTCTTTGACACATTCCCCGTTTCCATTCTCAATTTTAAGCATGTGCCTCTATATACATGTAGTAACTCATGGTCATATAAAATAAGACCCTTACATAAACAAAACGTTAAAAATAAATCTCTGTAGACAATGAAACTGATATTTGGGACAAACTGCTAATTGGGGTACCCATTTTGTATTTACAACTCCTAAACTTCTTATCAGAATATAATACAAAGTTCTTACAATCTTAACCAATTAATGCCATTGTGCATTTCCTATTTCTCTTTCCTTAAGAGACTTTCATTTATTAGTTTCATTGTAACATACAAGGGTTTGTAATAGTATAGAATTTTTATGACAAATATTGTAAGTGACATTGTCCAATAAGTAGATTGTCCATACAAGGGTATGTAATGGCTATATCATGCAGTATATAAATTTATGACAAATATTGTAAGTGACATTGTCCAATAAGTAGATTGTCCATACAAGGGTATGTAATGGCTATATCATGCAGTATATAAATTTATGACAAATATTGTAAGTGACATTGTCCAATAAGTAGATTGTCCATACAAGGGTATGTAATGGCTATATCATGCAGTATATAAATTTATGACAAATATTGTAAGTGACATTGTCCAATAAGTAGATTGTCCATACAAGGGTATGTAATGGATATATCATGCAGTATATAAATTTATGACAAATATTGTAAGTGACATTGTCCAATAAGTAGATTGTCCATACAAGGGTATGTAATGGCTAAATCATGCAGTATATAAATTTATGACAAATATTGTAAGTGACATTGTCCAATAAGTAGATTGTCCATACAAGGGTATGTAATGGCTAAATCATGCAGTATATAAATTTATGACAAATATTGTAAAGTGATATTGTCTAATAAGTAGATTGCAACAGAGTATTTTTTGAAAGCTAACATACTAGAATGACCTCTCTAAGACAATTCAAAAGAAAAGTTTGGAATGTCAAGTTCAAAGAACTTGTTTCAAAGCATACTATTTTTTACCCTGACCCAAAACCTTTAAGTTAAGGTCCTTGACAGAATAGATATTTACACAGGTAATTAAATAGGTGTAAATTAGCTTACCTTGAAAGAACCTTGTTTTAATGACTTATTTCTAATTCCATAAGACATGATACTGATAGAGGTCAATTAGCCTGATTTAAAAAGTTAGTCCAAGTCATGACAGGTTCCATATATCCAAATAATAAATTCGTCAACTTGCAAAAAAATTTTCAACAAACAAGTCCTAATCTGATGAGTATATATTTGTTTAAAAGATCAAATTGTTGGAATAAAAGATTCCATTGATATCTATGTTAATCACAGGTGTTAATTACAGGTGTGACAAAAATAAACACCTCCTCCTCCCACTTCAAACAGTTACATAGTCTGACCTATGACCATTGATTTCTATTCTACAAGTAGAGACTGCTTACTTCCCGAACAAGGAGGAATCATGTTTGTACATATATATAATCTTCATTGAACGTTATTGAATAGAAATGTTCCTAATGTTCTCACACTTGAATGAGAAAAATGGATGTGAATTCATTTTCCGTGACGACTTATCTAACTTGCTGACAAAGAAGAGTTTACTTTTTCAAAAGCCATTGAATTATCAATTGACATTCACTTTAATAAATTGTCAGCTCAAAGGAAGCGAAAGCTGGAACTAATCCCCAGGAAAAACTGGTACATATACTATTTCATTCAGTGATAATCTCATATCTACAAGATATTTCGGAAAAACTTTTACTGTGTATAAGGATGAATGTTATCTATTGTCAGCTGCCTAAGAAGAGATATGACACAGGAAAACCATACTGGACAGGTCAGCAGGGATGACAGTGAAAGACAGGGTAAATACACATGGTCATCACTTTCAAGAACATCTGAGGAAGCAAATGTCCAGTGCGTAGCTTTATATTTTAAAAATCAGCATGAATTTATCTTATAAACCGTAAGTTTGCCACATTACTGAATTGTTCATGGAACTTTAAAGCTTATATGTTCTCTAGTCTATCCATTTATGAAATTTAACCTCTCACAAACAATGTCATCCACTTTTTTCCAAGTCAAAGATATTTTTTAAGCAAACAGTGACAAATCACAGAACTTCATAAATGTTCAAACACAGTACTTGATCGGAAGTGTCATCATTATATTTATATAAAGTTCACATCTTAAATACTAGACAAATGCACGAGTTGAACATTGATTAAATATAAATTCAGCCAAATCACATTTATTAATTTACATTTAGATCCACTCAGTGCAAGAACTTGAACTATTCAATTACAGAATCTCCATCTTCAAATGAGCCACTTAAAGTATTCTTAGTCGTAACATGGTGTCAAATGGCAGGATGTAATTATCTGCCGGGGAACACTTGTACAAGTCCACAGAGAAAGTATTTCAACTAGCAGAAGTTTTCACCAGAGATAGTTAAACAAATTTTTAATCAAGGTTTTAATTAGGAATAGTAAAGGTTATCTATTTGTATGTAAATGTGTGAGCAGACGTTCCTCGGTAAATAGGTAGAGATATTACAGTTAATTATTTAACTCTTACAACATTGGACTTATGGAATGTAAAGTGTCTTGTAAAAATCATTAAGTAGACGGGCATTGTTTTTGTGAATTTTGAAATCAACATTCCTTGAGAGCAGAGAAAATTTCCAATAGAGAAAAACAATATACCACGGAAAAAAATAGTTCATGTGATGCCAAAATATCAAGTAAGACGTAAGCTTAGGTGTTTATAAAACTGAAGCTGAAGGTATAATGGATAATCCTTCACATTATCAAGTGAAACACTGTTTTCTATCAAATGACTTTTGTTCAACAGCAATAAAAGGATCCTGATCCATATGGTTACAACCTGGAGCACTTGTCAAAAAGGAAAAAATAATACAGTAGAGATGATCACTTCGTATGCCTCAAGTCAAATTCCAAGAAATTTGCTTTTTACTCTTCCATTTTAAATTCCAGTGAAAATGAGACCTGTTTTAGTGAGAAGAACAAGTATTTGAACCTTGAGAATGACAACTAACTGGATGTTGACAAGAGAAAAAGTTGACAGAAACATTTGTCTACGTCATTGAAGTATGAAAACACGATTAATTTGGTTGTTTTGTAGAGGTTTTTGCACCACATAAAAGTCTTAATACTTTAACACAGGTAAGTGCTTTCATCAAAATTACAATAAGTAAATGATATATATATTTCTTCATATACAGTATAGATGTATATTATATCACGGTATTGATGTATAGTATATCTATGTTTTAATGAATATATCATGGATGAAAAGTACTCATGAAGTTATGTCATATAATATAATAATTCCTGAAGTTATGTCATATAATATAATAATTTCTTCAATTCTGTATGTATTCAAACCGGATCTGACTAATTTGATAAATTCTGATATACCACGCTGTTAAAATTAGTCATGTGTATATCCCCCCCCTCCTCATCTATTGGGAACATTCAGCCTTTTCCATTAATCATTTGAGAAACAGATTCTACCACTTTATCCTGACGACTACCATATATATCCACTTTTGTTAGTTAAGATTTTAAAAGTTTCAAGTACGTCCTAAACCTTGCATTTTTAAGTTCAAAAATTTAACTACTGGCATCTATAGTGGATAAAAGGATGGTGGCGTAAAATCTATATATATATATATATATATATATATATATATATATCCCTTGAATAAAAAATATTCATAATGGGAAAACCCGGTTATCAGTCCCACATGAAAAGTAGGCTGAGATAATGAACCTTTGTTAAATTCTGAAAGTACACCCTCTCATAGCAGCTTTAAAACCTCTATTCTAGTTTCTACCAATACCAATAGAGGACTTTTGTAATACAAAACTATGATATATAGGTCATGGTGACCTACTTTGGTTTGAATCACTTGGATAAATCTTTGTATCAAGATACACTGTACAGCCTTGTAGGTGTAGTTTTATTTAATTCTTTTAAACTCTAATGATTAAGCACTTTATCTGCATTCTAGGATGGCATTTCAATATAAATTCCCACAAAATGACATTAAAAAATCAATTGAAATTATAACATTTAGAACAAATTTTAGGGGAATTTGTACTTAGCTGTCTAGAAGTATAGGAATGCAATAGAAAGTTTGTTAAATTTATACTTTACCTCTGGAATAACTTTTGCATTTAAAATAAATTTTTCTAAATCAAATGCACTACTATTTCTTCTTGGAATTGATGAATTATCTCCCCCTGAAGAATATTTCCTTCGACGACCACCTACTTCCCGATTTATATTATTCTTATCATTTAATTCAACGTTGACACTTCCCCTTCTTTTCTGTATTGCCTTAACAATTCCTGAACCGGCCTCACTTTCACTTCCACGTCTCCTCTTGTTTAACTTTATAATGTTTGGATTTGGCGTTGAGCTCGGTCTGAAGAACTTAGATTCCATATTATTTAGTAGTGTCCATTATAATTATAGATATCCAACTTGAAATTTTCTGCAACGTTTGCTAAACAGTTAGCTTAATTACTTTTTAATGTATTATTTAAACTACTGTATTAAATTGCAACAATATGGAATTTCATTGTCACAGGTGAAGTGTCTCCCAAAAAAGGCATTCTCTGACGGTATAAATTAAAGGATTAAAATGATTTGTTCCTTTTTAAGAAGTTAACAGATTTGTACTCCTCTGAAGTAAATCAGGATTAACTTTAATTTCAGTCAGTTCGTTCTAACAAATCATTTAATAAATCACTTTGAACCACTATGTCATACTAATTCAGTGATAACGGAATGATTATTTCTACGATCAGAAATCAATTCTATCATTTAACAACTTTTTACATTTAGTTCAAATAATTTTGGCATACAAGATGACTATATTTTCTTTAGCAAAGTTTAAAAGTCTGAGTCAATATAGGTTTACAAAACAAGCCATTGTATGCTGCGGACTTTCAATTATTTGCTATTTATACCAATACAATGTCTGACGTTGTTAACTTCCCTTGTTCCATATCTTAAATTCTAAGTCATTGTTAAAAAATGTTTATGAACTTTTCACTTTTCAGGCTAAATAAAGAATATGTTTTTTCTGTGCTATCCAGTTATGAGGGCTACACAATGCCAGAACTAACTAATGCTAAAATCCTGCATCTTTATAATCAATTTCTGCAGCTTGAACAATAATTCAGGTATGTATTCATTACATAATGAATATCCCATTAGTTTTAAATATGAAACAACACTTTTTGTTCTTACTTTTAAAAATAAATTTCCCATCATTCATTGCAACAAACTTAAAACAAACATTTACTTTCACTAGATTTGATGCTGGATCAAGTTCTCATCTCAACTAAATCACTATTAAACTCTTTCTATCTGAGCACAAACTACACAATAATGCTGTTCTTGCAAACTCCAAACAACAAACATTTACTTTTACAAGATTTTATATTATGCCATCTCAACTAATCACTATTAAAATCATCTTCCTATCCGTCACTCAGCACATACTAAGTAAAAATGTTGCCCTTGCAAATTTCAAACAATTAAGCTGCCATTTTTTTTATACAAAATATTATAATGATAAAACAATTAGGAATGCATGTCAACGAAAAAAATAATTTATATTATTCAACAGTCAGATGGTATCCCTGCAGGTATATATGTTCAGATCATTAATATAAAGTAAGTCTTCTCACATTAAGAAGTGCCCTTCTTCCACAGGAGATTAATGGTCTTTGGATGCACTTGAGCAATAGCTCCAAGATTCAAAAATGTTTTCACAATGGAAAAATGTCTTTCATGCAAGATTCCAGATATTCTATTCCAAACAAACAGATGAATTTTCCAATCGAAGAAATAAACCTTGTAAACTTTCAGCTGATTCCATAAAGTATATAATAATAATAATGTTGAAAAGTTTCCAAAAAACTGTAGTTCCCAGAACTGTTATCCTTATGATAGTCAAACCAAATTTAATATAAAGAAGAGTTATTTTCTTATAAACCTGAAAATGAAGAAACGATAAAAGAAAATTTAACACATGACAAAATGTCAAATTAACCCAGACCATAAAAAGACCGTTGAATGATCAATAACATTACTATCTTTTCTTCACTTCAACTGCCGCAAGGAGAATAGTCACAGTCTTTAAACTTCAATGCTACTTTATTTTCAAACAAAAATTAGCCTTTTTGTTCGCATGTCTTTTATATCAACGATAAAATTTACTTTCCCCATTACATAATGGCAATGATTTATCTTACAGGTAGCAGCAGTCTTCAACTGATACAGGTAAGCATAGATTTTTTTCACCTATCTTTACTCTAGGACAGAACATTTTTGCAAAGTTCTTCACAGAACTTGAAGACAGTATTGTCTGTTCCTTCAGTGTTTTAATGAGCATGTTTTTCAAATGAATTATAGATTGCTGTATATCACAAAATTATTTCTGTTTTAAAAAGTTCAATTTTAACATTCTAAAAGTTCGATAGAGAGGTAAAAACCATCAAATCTCACTCATGGCATTGTATGAGTCAGCTTTGTAAAATTAAATGTGACAACTAGATAAAAAGCTAACAGTGCTATTGGAAAATAGCATGACTTACATAAATATATACATGTAGCTTTCCATTGTATAACTTTGCATTTGAAATACATCAACCATTTTTATTTAAAAACTAAATTTTGTGTAAATCATGGTTAAGCTATTTATGGCAGTGCTATGTTGAGTTTCATATCAGGGAATCGTCATAAAAAGACTCTGAATAAAAAGACATAATGCCACATTGCCTTCCCTTCAATCAATAGCAACTGAGATTCCACCACCCCCAGTTTCTGGCGGGGATTGTTTTGCTCAGTCTATAGTTTTCTATGTAGTGTTTTTGTAGACTTGTTTGTCTTTTAAACGTGTTTTTTGTCATGGTTTTGTCTGTCTCTCTACGACTTATGAGTTTTGATTGTCCTTTTGGTATCATCTGTCTTTAGACGTGTTTTTTGTCATGGTTTTGTCTGTCTCTCTACTACTTATGAGTTTTGATTGTCCGTATGGTATCTTCTGTCTTTAGACTTTATTGTTTTTTATCATGGTTTTGTCTGTCTCTCTATGACTTATGAAATTTGATTGTCCGTATGGTATCTTCTGTCTTTAGACATTATTGTTTTTTGTCATGGTTTTGTCTGTCTCTCTACGACTTATGAGTTTTGATTGTCCGTATGGTATCTTCTGTCTTTAGATATATTGTTTTTTGTCATGGTTTTGTCTGTCTCTCTACGACTTATGAGTTTTGATTGTCCGTATGGTATCTTCTGTCTTTAGACGTTATTGTTTTTTGTCATGGTTTTGTCTGTCTCTCTACGACTTATGAGTTTTGATTGTCCGTATGGTATCTTCTATCTTTAGACGTTATTGTTTTTTGTCATGGTTTTGTCTGTCTCTCTATGACTTATGAAATTTGATTGTCCGTATGGTATCTTCTGTCTTTAGACGTTATTGTTTTTTGTCATGGTTTTGTCTGTCTCTCTATGACTTATGAGTTTTGATTGTCCGTATGGTATCTTCTGTCTTTATACGTTATTGTTTTTTGTCATGGTTTTGTCCGTCTCTCTATGACTTATGAGTTTTGATTGTCCGTATGGTATCTTCTGTCTTTAGACGTTATTGTTTTTTGTCATGGTTTTGTCCGTCTCTCTACGACTTATGAGTTTTGATTGTCCGTATGGTATCTTCTGTCTTTAGACGTTATTGTTTTTTGTCATGGTTTTGTCTGTCTCTCTATGACCAGTGAGTTTTGATTGTCCGTATGGTATCTTCTGTCTTTAGATATATTGTTTTTTGTCATGGTTTTGTCTGTCTCTCTACGACTTATGAGTTTTGATTGTCCGTATGGTATCTTCTGTCTTTAGACGTTATTGTTTTTTGTCATGGTTTTGTCTGTCTCTCTACGACTTATGAGTTTTGATTGTCCGTATGGTATCTTCTACCTTTCTTTTAAACAGTAAATATAAAAGGTATAACTCTGTAACTAAGTTGATAACACAAAAATTCAAAATAAGGGAAAAATCATCATGCATTTAACAATTTATTTCTGTTCAATAATGAATGTTAACTTTCTGGCCTTTCAATGAGGTGAAAATGAAATAACAATATTATACTTTCGCTTGGCTTAAATACACAAAATAAACACTCAGGGTTTCCCAAACTATTCTTATTTTAGTGCCTTGCCTAGCCGATTCAGAATCAAATATACTTTGAGTCCACATCTTTTCCCCTATTTACCCAACATAAAGTATTTTTTAATAGTTAAAATGACTATACTTACCATCCTACCCTATTTTTGTTTCATAAACCAACATATAATTTACTTGGCCTTTTTAATGATAAATGCTTAACAATCTTTCATAATATATTTCAAAGATAAAAAAATAAAAAATGTATAGGATATAATTTTGTTAAATATGAAATGACATATCTTTTGAGATTTTAAAAAGAAAACCCTGTACCTTTACACCTGATATGAATTATCAATAAAATAAATTAAAATATTCAATCACTAAATAATCTACATTTTTGCATAAAAAAAACAACATGCATATGGCTAGCATGCCAACGGCAAATCGACCTATTGTTGCCCTATTTATACATAGATGACAATCGTTATTTAAAAGACAAATAATTTATTCGACTGAGAAATCATTACATCTATATCCAGGGGACACAATCACTATAAAAATCTTAATCTTATTGAACGCATAAATACCGAGGGTCTTGATCTCTCTGAATTTACGATGTGATAAAATAATAAATCATTTTACTTTAACCTCATTTGCATAAAATGTGTTAAGACTTACCCTGCGTAACTTTTTGACATTGTTAACATGTGTTGATTTCTGCCTTGGACTTGGTTTACGCACTATCTTTGTTGACATTTTTTTTTTTAATTTACACAATTAAAAATGCTTACATCCATGGAATTGTGATAAATCATTAGACATGTTTCTTATAAAATCAGTGAACAACATGAGGTTTCACTCACAGATAGATCCTATGCTTAATCCATCATCACAAAGTACACATTTCAAGCTTAAAAAGATATATAGCCTCAATATTTCAATGTTTTCACTTAGTTTACTTCAAGTTGAGAATTGTTATTAACTTTTTTCATACTATTTCATCATGCAGCTGCAAGAGAGTATAACTTTTTGTGGGTTAAACAACTAATTAAGATATTTCTCTATTATCCAAGAACACTAATTTGCACAAAAATATTTGATGAAAATTAAATCTTTTGCATACTAATAAAATATTATCCCCTTTTTCAGTGTTGAATAAAAGCACAGAATTGTCTATGTAATCCTAACAGGTATATTTGTTTACAAACATTTAATATATTCCTTAATTAATTCCAGTCAGCATACCATTACAATATAATTTAACCCTTGAGTAACACAAATAATTGTTTCTTTTAATCTGAATGTATCTAAATACACTATGTCTGTTCCACAGATATCGTCATGTGACATTTTATCCCATCTTATTCAAATATCTGGTATCCCCCTATTAAACTAGGTTCCTGTGTATATTTACATAACTGTCCTTACTGTCCTATTAACAACCAATTAGTGGAGCACCTGTTGACGAAGTATCTATGTTGAAGTCATAATCATGTCTACCTGTGCTCATTATCAAAATCTATCAAACTGACCACAGATATTTCTCCATTCACAAGAATGTCAATAATATCCCATCATTAAAACTATCCCTTCAGTGATTATCATAAGATGTAAAGAATACCTGGATTCATTTCACCTATATTTCATTATTATCTTGTCCCACTTTTTTTCATTTTCTTCAATGAAATCACAATAAGACTCCCTAAGAACTTTAACCATAGGTCAGTGATCACTAATACTAGTTTTTGTTCTTTATCAAAGGTGTGAATGAAATTTGATACATGGCTCTTTTCTAGCAACTTTTCTTAAAACTCTCAATCACCAAAAATGTACTTTAAAACTTTTTTTAAAGTTTCTTCCCGATAAACACACGTTTTATCTTATCAACTGCACATGCAGGAAAATATGTCTCCATAGGCATAGATAACACTTTGCAATATTAAAAGTCCATCGTGATCAAGGTGATTTAGAATTGTATGAAATACTATTTTTACAAAATTTTATAAATGTATGCTATTAAGTAACAAAACGCTTTGCTTTCATTCACTTAATACCCTTGGTTTTAATACACATGGTTGGGTGTGTATTGTAGATTGACATTAATATACCTGTAAATTACCTATCTAGGTGTTTCCATATACCTGCTGTGAAACAAACTTGTCATTTTTCATCATTTTCAAAAAGTTTTTGCATTCAATTTACAGTCCTAGGATTGCAATTTTGAGAAATACCTCATTTTAGAAATTTTGTGTACTAGCTCATTCTAAAACACTCACAATTCTGCTGCAATATAATTCAATAACATCAATTTTAATTTCATGAGATTTGCTTATTATAATTAATCATATGAATAGACCTAAAGGTTCACATATGACATTTTCCATTGCCTTTACATACTGCAAAATCTTTTAAGTTTAAAACTGACTACATTGTCATAGTAAGGATTTTTCCATCCATAAACATTACCCAGAAAAACTTCCCTAGTATCAATACTATATTTATTAGTTGCAAAGGCTACCATTGGGAATTTATCTTTACAAAATCAAATACATAAATGCACTATAAATGTTGCTCTATCTTCAGTTTTCTATATACAGTTTGTGGACTTTTGTTTGGTTTTTGACCCCCCTTCTCCAATCCCCTGGAACCCTTTTACTTTTTTCACCTGCCATTCGGAAATCAACAGGTAAATTGAAAAGCTTTAAGACATTAAAAATATCCAAGCTTACATTTTTGATACTTCATAATGCTAATCTAAGGAAGCAACAATGGTAAAGGATTCACACCTGAAGTCAAAGTAAAATATTGCATAACTAGTACTGTGACTACTGTGTTTATAGAATATGACTCACTATCTGTCATTATACATGTATTACAAAGTACCTGAAACTAAAAGGTAGTACTTAAGAAGCCATATCAATTTCATGATCAAGATTAATACCATCTCTGAAAATATATACCTAAGGTTTGGTTCAGAAGTTTTTAGGGAAGTATTAATTTTCTGTTTTCTATAGAGATAATTGTAATGTGAATTCCCATGCCAGAGGCCTTATAAGGTAATCTTTAGTACCAGAAACACCTATTGAAGTCAGTAAAGAACCCGACAGTCCTTTTTGGTATAATGGACACAACACATACTATAATATAATACAATCATGGTGCTTAGCAAATAACAACCAAAGCAACAACACTCAGAAATATCTACATCTTGAAAAGAAGTCAAAATGGTGATACTTAGACAAGATCACTTCCAAGAGACATCTATAACAATGCTTTGACTGGTCACCATAAATACCTATATTAACTTTTAACAGTGACAGAAAAACATACTTTATTTCTTTACTTATTCTGTAATTTAAAAAATCTTCCAACAATTCTTCTGTTCAATGTTAAACATGAGTTGTTACTGGGTTTTTTTTAACTGCCAGTGGTCTATTTTTTTAAATGGTTGTGTCTAGTGCTTACAAATTTTGTGAGACAGGAACCGAAAAAATATGTTTACATTGCAACATGTGTGCGAGAAACATACAAAGGAACTTCAATTAGTTGTTTTAGACTTTAAAATGCACTAAATATTGTCTTACATTTTGGGGATAAAGACTTGTTGCACAATGAGCGTGTGGCAGTTGTTTATTTACATTTTCTACATTTACACGTGATTATCTTAAAGGCGCTTTTTGATTGGATGCAGCCAGTCACAACTGCTACCAATGGTAATCATTACCTCATGGATCTGAAATTCTATCTTAATCCGCCAAGGGCGGAGAGGAGGGGACTTTATCGTAACCCTTGGCTAGTGAAGATGGTCTTAGGAGGGAATAAAAAGGTCAACTGCTACCAATCAAACAAATCTGGAGAAACTGGTTGGGGCAAAATTGAATTTGATTTCAAATCTTCAGAGATTTTTCTATGCTTAAAATGAGTCAGGTGTATGTGGTTGGTATGGTACTGCACAATATTTTTTGGTGATTCCTATTTTATCCTTTTAAGCATTTTGAGCTTTCCAGTACTTAGGTAACATACATTTATACTTTTTGTACCTTTTCAAGGTATAAAATCAAGAGTTTTTGAAAAATTTTCAAGTAAGATTTCTCCTATTAGTAAATATATATCCACTTCAGTGGCATGTAAGTGCTTCCAATAATATCTGCAACACATTTTTTCATTCTCAGTATCCATAAAATTTTGCAGGTTTGTGCTTCTTTTCGAATTATATAAGAAATTTCTAAAAATATATGCATCTGCAACTTTTCTATAAATTTATTTTCTGAGGTAATGCAGCTGCATACATGACGTTTTCTTTTCTAAAAGTTTACTTTCTGAGGTAATGCAGCTACAAACAAATGTTTACATTTTTATAAATTCTCTTTCAGAGGAAACTAATCAAATATTAGTGCATTTACCATTTGTTATTTGCTTTCCAGGACTTTTCAATGTAGAAGTCAACTATTATTATTTTTTGAATAATCAAGTTCATGTCTGTTCAAAAATGCCAAAATTTTCTTTGATTGTCCCCCAATTGAGCAAAAAACAGACATAAACAATGTATGTTGCATTACTAGGAAAAGGGAGGTAACTCTATCTAAATCCATTTACTCTTGTATGTCTGAGTATTTAAAATTACTTTCCCAAAAAGCATGTGTGTTTTCAATGATATAACAGCTGCAAACCATGTAGAATATTTGAATTTCTTTTAATATTCATTGACCTGATTATCTTGGGTTGCTTTCCCATATATTTTTTAAGTATTTATCCCTCATTTCCTCACTTTCATTTTACAAAGAAGATGGACAGAATGTGCAACAAATGATGATTGTTCAATTCTGATTTTTCCTGTAGAAAACCCACAGACACTGTTTTAATGATTTTGGGGGAGGGGATACAAGATACTGCAAAAGACTTCAAAACTGCATCAAAAGCCAAAAGTTGTGTTACAGGGCACTACATGATTTAGCTTTCAATCAGAACTCTGTAAGACAATGCAAGTTTGTACATATCCTATATTCTTGAATATTTTGGGGAGTGTTTTAAAAATGAACACTATGAAATCCCCCCATAAATCCTTGTTGTAATATTAAAATTTCCTATAAATTGAAAGTTTCAAGGAAAATTTTTCAGTTTATTTCTAAATCTAATCTAAAAGTAAGAAAATATTGAGGTATCCTTTTCCCTTTTTAAAGTGTTCTGGATAATTCTTGTCCTCTCTTACACGTCTGTCATGGAACAATAAATACTGGAGTTAGATTTGTTTTTTTTCTTCCTTGTAAATCCTAAGATATATTAATAAATGTATAAACCAGAGAGAGAACAATGTTATCAAAAATTAAAGCTTGAATGAAGTTTTATCTGATTCAATACACCACTCTAGTTTTATGTATTAAACTACCTGTATTAAACCAACAGGTGGAATAATAAACTTCTTAAAACTCATATAAGTTCTTTTTTTAAATCTTTTTATGAATTAAAGATTGGGGAAGTCTCAAAATTGATTAAAAAACAACATTAAAAGTCAACTCTGATTCTTTTTACCAATGGTAAATAAAATACTCCGCTGGGCGCAGCTTGATACGACTGCAGAGGTCGAACCCTGAACAGTTGGGGCAAGTATGGACACAACATCCAAGCTTGATACAGCACTGAATTTGGATTGTGATTAAATATTTGACACAGCATAGGTTTCTGACACAGAATGAATGTGGTCTAAGAACTTAAAAATGTTTAATTTACCTATTCAAACCATATCATTATTATTTGCTTTTATATATAAATCAGAAATAACCAATTTAAAATGGAAAATTTTAAAGAAAAAAAAATCCCTCCCCCAAATTTTTTGAACCCCCTTATGATTCATCACCCCAAACTCAATGCCAGCCTTCCCTTTGTGGTATGGTACCTTGCAGTACAATTTCAGAGAGATCCATACACTTGAACAAAAGTAATTGTCTGGAAACTAGAAAAATGCCTGTTTTTAGGCCCCTTATTGGCCCCAAATTCCTAAACGTTTAGAGCAATTACCCCCAAACTCAAACCCAGCTTTCCCTTTGTGATATGGAACCTTGTAGTACAATTTCATAAAGATCCATACACTAACACACAAGATATTGTCCTGAAACTAGAAAAATGCTTGTTTTGGCCCTTTTTGGCCCCTAATTCCTAAAATTTTGAGGCAATTACCCCCAAAATCAATCCC